TTTATATACTTTTATCCCGTCCGGTGTCTCGGTGTTCTCGGTTGTTTGGAGGACTTTTGTGCACGGTACCTTTAATCCATCGTCCGCGTTACTTGATGTAATTATTAGCGATCCTCTGTATTTTGGCGGACAAAAAGTCCGCGGATCCAAGTCCCTCGTCTGCGCAGGCCATTTAATAAAAGAACAGTTATTTTAACGTTCATAATACCTATAGTAATATGTTAAATAACAAGTTCTGAACGCCAGGACATTGTATGATAAATCATTCCTTATTTTTATTACTGTTAGATATTTTATGGTCACCAGTCATATTATAATTTATTACATAATGTCGTGGATCTTAAATTAGTAAATTGTTCAGTGTTGTAAATTACCCCTATTTTTACACAAATGCAAAAAAGTAATGTTTTCAGGGTTCTTGTGTGTCTCGTACAGCATTTTGTCGGGAGATTTCGTTATTTGTCGTCAGGATATCGAATAATATGTCGGGAGAATCCAGGCGAATCCCAACATTAAGAAACCCTCAAAATTGGTCTTTATAAACCCTCAATATTTTTTAAAGAGATATTTAACAACTAGGAGCTCGATGGCGCAGGTGGTTAGAGTATTCGGCTTGCGATCGTGGAAGTTAAACAACTTTCGCAATGGCCCTTCATTTGACTGGTGACCAAAAACTACCTAATCGTCTCGAGCTCCTCCGTGCTTCGGAAGGCATGTTAAGCAGTTGATTCCAGCTGTGTCTAGTCGTTAGCACCCACCAAACCACACAGGGCCCGCGTGGTGGGTCATGTCAGTAGGGGGACATTAATAGGATGATTTTGATGGTGATGATGATTCAGAAACACTACTCTACCCTACCATGTGGTAAGTAGACGAATTTATTTCTGGTCTACCCCATGGTTACGTGTAGGAGAGGTACTTTCCCTAAAGGTTATTCGAGTGTGAAACATCGTAAGTAGAATGATAAAGGTGAAACAATTTTTTTTTATGTTATAGGGGGCATACGAGCAGACGGCTCACCTGATGGTAAGTGATCACCGTCACCCATGGTCACTACGGACACTATGGACACTGGATACAAATAATAATGCAATGGTTGAAGATAGTTTTACTTTTATTATTCACAATATTCGAAGTTATTCTGTTGATTGTTAAGTACATTTTTCTCTCCTTTATGACTTCTATTTACATCAATCAATTTGTTAGAGCAATCACAGTTTCTGCAATTATAATAAACAGAGCAGTTCTGCACAATCAGCATTCTGCAAATGGTTTCGATGTATAAAACATGAAGTAGTTAGGTAAATCACGATTTTCCCGCTGTGCGCACGCGACTACAACATTTCAGGAGTTCGCTCGCCTGCGACCGATGATGTGGTGTGCATAATGGATAATGTCTCCTTTCAGGTAACTTTCTTTTGTTTTATCTCCTTAGGTAATACAGAAAGACATAATTTTTATTAGGTAACAAGTAATTTACTCAAGCATTATATCTATAATCCCTCGTTTCCACCAAGAAACAAGTCATAGTTTTAAACAAAACTTGTAGAATACTTGTTGTGGCTGTTTAAAACATTATTTTGTTTACACTTCATAAACAACTAGTATCTTACAAGTATAAATCACTTATTTACTTCACATATTTTGTTTATCCAACAATTTTGATGTAAGTATTGTATACTTTATGTTTTCTCCATCGATACCTTTGGGTAGAAAGGTCGTATAAACTATTTTGGTCAAATTGAGTTATATATACCATTTTACTCAGATTATTTTTCTCTATCGATCTGCTAAATAAAGGTAAATTTTCAATGTAAAAGCCAAATGTTTTTTTTTTAGTTTTGTCATGATGTAATGACCATAATTTATATTAACTCAGGGCGTAAAAATAGTCGTTAATTGTAAATGGTTCATATACCCTAACGTGTTAAAACATTACCTAAACATAGTTTAAATTCGACGTCGTAAATCCAAAGGCAGTTCGCGAGGTTTGTGTATAAACCATGTTCATTGCAAGAAGCACTTTACGACCAACACACAAGGCTCCCATTTGGCGCGTAGCGACAAGCAGAAGAACGAGCGGGCTAGACAGATACCGGCGCATTGGTTTATTGGTTGCGAGTTCGCGCACTGTACCCTTAGTACGAGTTTGAGCTCAAGAAAACTATCATAGTTTTCGTAATTGTAAATATTTCTATATCCATTTTGGTCAAAAGTGACCAAATATACTTAAAATTTAAGAAGATGCAAATGGTTTAATGATAGAATTGAAACACTGTTTATTTGTATTGAAACGAAAACAATAAAATCAGTATCCTTAGTACGAGTGCGAGCTCACGAAAACTATCATAGTTTTCGTTATTGTAAAACTCATACTAAGGGTACTGAGCGTTTCGTCACAAGTTTCGTTTACAAGTTTTATTGTTATTACAACAAATGATTAACGTAGTGGCTAAATCGATACCTTTGGGTAGAAAGATCGTATAAACCAAAACTCGACTTTTCAGGAGAGTAGAAAAACTATTTTTTTTACATAAAAATTCATAACTTTTTTGTTTTCGAAGTTATAAAAAAATGATCTATGAGAAAGGTTCTTGCAATTTAAAAATGAAAAAGGTTAAGTCATCAAAACCTACCTATCTTCTTTAGTTTTAAAGTTAGCTTGGATTTAATTTAAGTCTATGAAAAAATCAATTCTTGGTTAATACACCCCATGAAAATGTACTTTAAAAAACTGTATAGGTCGTATATCCATTTTTGGTAGGCTTATGGTCACGTTTACTGTCGTAAAACCCCATATAATTATGTATTTTTTTGTATTAAAAAACATAGATCAAATGAATTCCGACTAATAAACAATCCTGTTACTCCCCGAATTAGTAGAAACTCAATTATTATTATTCTAATACCCAATAATGGCCGATTCAAATAAAATAAAACTACCTGAAATACAAAATCAACATTTATTAAGTATAATAAGAGGCATTTTAATCATTTAGAAAATAATAACTTGATTTTTTTTAATTTTTTGTACATGTTTAAATGTAGGTACTTAATTCAATAAATTATTGAATTAAGCCTCAATACTAAGGCTTACTTACTAAGTAATTTATTGAATTGCAACTAAATAAGAAAAAAACATTCAAGCACTTAACGTAACTAACTTATGTACCAACTAAAAAGTAACTTATTTATGATATAAATTTGTATTCATAATTAGTTTAACATTATTTATGAATTGTTACTATAAATTATTTTAATTGTTATTATAAAGTATTTTAAAACGAATTATGAATTAAGAAACACATTTTCAAAATATAAATTTCGGTGACAAAGAATACAATCATTTAACATAGTCTTGTGTTTTTACTAAATAATATTACGAACGAACGACGAAGGAGACGACCAAGAGCTAATTGAATAAAACAATTATTATTATAAAAGAATAATAACATTTCGTATTTACGTAATTTCACTTTTCGTTCGTTAGCAAAATATTATTTAGTAAAAAAACAAGACTGTGTTAAATGATTGTATTCTTTGTCACCTAAATTTTTTTTTGATAATGTGTTTCTCAATTCATAATTCGTTTTAAAATAATTTATAATAATAATTGAAATAATTTATAGTAACAATTCATAAATAATTTTAAACTAATTATGAATACAAAATATCATAAATAAGTTACTTTTTAGTACATAATTAAGTTAGTTACGTTTAGTGCTTGTTCGTTTTTTTTAGTTAGTTGCAATTCAATAAATTACTTAGTAAGTAAGCCTTAGTACAAAAACTTAATTCAATAATTTATTAAATGAAATACATTTAAATATGTACATAAAATTAAAAAAACGATCAAGTCATAATTTTATAAAGTGAGGGTATAGTGTTTAACAGTCTACATATACGTGGGACACACGGAAATTTTTGAGAAACTATACTTCTATAAAAAACCCCTTTTCAAAGAACTCTCCACCAACCTCTATACAAAGTTTCATGCGTCTGATCCTATTTTCAAAACATTTTTTTCCAGTCCTCCGCAGACTCCTCTTCTACGGCCTTCTCAAACGCTGCTATCGCTTCTTCCGGCGATGAAAACTGTATCCCTTTGAGCAAATTTTTTATTTTAGGGAATAAAAAGAAGTCACGCGGAGCCAAATCCGGGCCGTAAGGAGGGTGTTCCAAGACTCTGACTAGTGTGGAGTCCAGGAAGTCCTTCGTTTTGATCGCAGAGTGCGCGGGCGCGTTGTCGTGGTGAAGAAGGACTTCGCGGAGCCCGGTGTTAGGTCGCTTATTGCTCATTGCAGAAAAAACTTCTGGCAGGCATTTTGTGCTATACCATTTAGCGTTGATGCTGCTTTGGTCGTCTCGAAGTGGAATTGAAATTAGGTACCCCGCCAAGTGAAGAAACTAGCTTCTCTTTTGTAGGCGTTGGTTCATTTTGAAACAGCCAAAATGTCGACTGACGCTTTTTTTCTGGATCGTATAGGATTCGTCACCTGTCACAATATCGTATGCGCCGTGACGAGCCTGCATGAAATTTTTGTACCAATCCACACGGGCCTGCTTCTGAGCTTCGGTGAGGTTGTGCGGCACCCAGCGGAAAACTATGCTCCTTACGCAAAGGTGCTCATGTAAAATCTTGTGAACAGGTGTTCAATCTGCAAAGTATGCTGAATCTCTTCGTACGTAAGTCGTCTGTTTTCTTGAATTAAATTTTTACTGCCAGCGCACTTTCTTCGGTGACGGCCGTCGTAGGACGACCACTCCTTTGTTCATATATTATTCACAACTTTTTATCTGTTACTGAAAACTGCATTATAATCCGTTAGTTTGAAAGATCTAAACCAGGGGTGCTGAAACTTGAACTGCTGGCGATCTACCTCAAAATTTTTAGACTACTTACGATCGACTCTGAAAGGCTGCAAGTATGTGTGATGCAGGGTTGTCGTACATACACGATACACCCCACCTACCTACCTAGGTAGGGTGCACCGTAGCATACATAGATATTAGCTTTCCGCACAATATAGGTACATTATTTTAGTCAAGGTTTGGGTTTGGTTTAATTAGGTTCTTCTCTACAATATCAATGAAAAAACTCATAGTTATTAAAAATTGCGAGTTTATTGGTTGTTACAAAACAAAAAAGTTACATATGGTGTTAAACTTAACTAAGGAGTGACTTTGGATGTTAAAGCGTGGCACTGCATGTCCTCAGCATACTTTTTATAAGATGGTACATAACCACTGAGTGCTAATCGCAAACATGATGACATATGATCGTCAGTTAGTCGATTGCGATATTTTGACTTAAATATCTTCCTTTCAGAAAATTCAGACTCGCACAAGTAAGTTGACCCAAACATTATGTCTGATATAATCTGCATCAACTCATTTTCAACAGAACATGAGTTCATATTAAACTGACTTGCTATTTCAGTAGCTAATTCCTCAATGTTTGTACATGAAAAAAGATAACTCATAAATGATGCTATATTTGCCAATTCACTGCAATCATAAAAACGCATTTTGAATTGTCTCAAAATACTTGATAATTCATCCTCATACGTATCATAATTCAACTGAGGAATCCTTGCTCACAAAGATGGAAAATGTTTCAGATCCTTTCTTTTCAGTTGATCTATCATAAGTTGCAATTTACTTTTGAATGCATTTACTGCGCTAAACATCGCAATAATATTTTTTCCTTTACCTTGAAGCTAAGCCAAGTTAATGGTGTTTAAGTGCATTGTGATGTCAGTCAAAAATGCCAAATCAGTCAGCTATTTTTCGTTTTTCAACATCTGAGTGTCATCTTTCGTCTCTTTCGTCTAGAAAAGCTGTTATAAATATCGTGATCGACCGTTTGAGCACCCCTGATCTAAACATGCAAACAGCTTTATACAATGTTAAGATAAAGATGAAGTGCTTACATATATAAATAAATCAAGGTGCTTACTTTGAAATAATTAAAAGCAATCTGAGAGGTGTTTTTGCGGTCTTACTGGATTAATAAAAAATATAACCACCTAAATAAAAAAGTACATCTATACAATATCTGTGACTCACTGCCAAGGTTTTCTCTGTTTATAAACAGGTATCCTACCCACTAATAATGCCTCCCGTGTATTGCTATTATGCTATTTATTCTCATCATTTGCAAACAAAAAAAAACTTCATAGTCCACACGTTGAATCTCAATAACACACCCATATCTGTAGCTACAAGCTGACCATGACGTCATCCAAAGGTCGCGCAGTGCCTATCGCCTGTTTGCGCGGGCGCAGAGATCACTAGTGCGTCGTGTTCTTGCGCCCAAGAACGTCCTTTATAAGTGTTTCGAAATGCGGTTAACTCTTGTGTTGTTAGTGGTAGCGGCTGCCGCCCGTGCTGATGATTTAGCACAGACCGCCGGTCAAATCTTCAACAGCATCCTGCCCAATCTGATTAATAACCATGTGACGGGCCAACAAGGCAACACTGCGACTAACACCCTCTCTCAAATCGGCACAGTCGTCGGTGGCGTAGTGGACTACGCTAAGAAAAAGAGTTACACGGACTTGCTCAAGCAGGTGCAAGACTCGACCACCGATGACGACCTGCTGCGCGTCAGCGAAGAAATGTTCAATGGGGACCTCAACAATGCCATTAATTACATCCAGGTCAACTTGCAGGGAAAAACCAGTGCTATGTCAAAGAACGATGAAGCGCAAGCTAAGTGAGTCCCTTGTCTATTGACAGAATCTTATAATTTTATTTGATGGTTATGAGAGGTTCACATTTGAATTGTAAAATACGATGATGATAGATTATTACTAAACTAATATATTTATAAAGATTAATTAATACATTTTTCTTCTAGAAACTAAAACGTTTAGTTAATAAATATTATAAAATACTTATTATTAAAATAATATCAAAAAATATTAGATTCCTACCATACCATCTTTGATATACTTATTACCACAGTATTATTACTTTTTACATACCTACCTAGCATATTATATTTATTATTATATATTTTATTATTGTTGATATTAAATTAAAGATATAAAAACCATTGCAAAAAAACAAGATTCAAAAGTTAAATTTTAACCTATTTTGTTGTATGTTTGGAGTGCTATCTATATATTATTTTTCACAAATATTTTTCTTATTAACAGCCTTCTGAATGTCCCGGAAAACGTATGGAACGGACCTACAATAAGGCCTTTCGTTGCTCTATTTGATAACTACCACAAAAATGTTATCAGGCCAGAATTCGTCACCCCTAACGTAAGTCCATAAACAATTGAACGTTTATGGCCACTTGTTTGGCAGTTTAGCTGAATCTCGATTTAACTAAAATTAGATTTAACAAATACTAAAATATTAAATTAGATTTTAAAATCTTCTTTTTAGCATGTATGAGTTAGTTAAATCGAGGTTTAGCAAATTTGCTACGAGTGGACCTAAATCAGACTTTGAAGGTAAACTGACCAATCTTGATTGTCTACTTATTAATAAGTTTTCTCATCACACTACTAATCCCTTAACTACCTACCCAACATGAATATTCGTAGAATAACATAGATAGGTACACGCAGTAAGTACTAGCTTAGCACACATTTAGCACACACATTTTATTATGTAAAAAAAATTACATATAAAAGCGCATTCTTAAATTAATCAGCGCAATCAGGTCATGCCCTGCCCTTGGTCTAGGTAAAATAATATTATCCTTCGGCGACATAATATGGTCGACACTCACTGCACATGAATTTTCTTTTTACTCTCTGCTAGATATAGCGTCTGCTGTAATTTGTGAGCTCGGCGTATTCTAGATTCAAAGTACAAGATGACACTACATCATTCCCCCCTTAAAAAAAGCTGATGCTACACTCAAAGGCTTACTGTTTTGTTACCCTAGCCTAGGACGGTCGCTGTTTCTATTATTTTTTTTCCTTCCTTCTTAATGTTTACGGAAAGGCCAAAGCTCATCCTCGTCTATTACAATCAAAAAGATCACGTTCTGAAGGTAAGTTACAATGGCAGCGCGGAAACTGCCAAACGTTTATGAAAAGACTTTTGATGGAAAGGCAAAGTTTAATGTGGGCCGTGATTTTTAGCTCTCTGTTCTCTTCCCCTAACCTTACTACTACTATCTCTGGCACTGGTGTGAAGATCTATAAAGTACGCCGCCTGCTTTAACTGTAGTTTTTTGAGAATCCCTCGGGAACCTTAGACTCCCGGGTGATGAAGTATCTTATGTCTGAATTAAGATCAAGGATCAATGTGTGCAAAATTTCATCTAAGTCCGTTCAGCCGTTTTTGTGTGACGGAGTAACGACATACAAACTTACAAATTCATTTCTAATATTATTGGAATAATTGGTTATGTAACTATAGATGTACAACATCATTAGCATTTTGTTATGACCATGGTCCTTACAGCATGACATCTTTGCAGGAGGAGACGGAACAAGTGACGTACATCAACACTATCCTCGCCACCGGCCCTATGCGAAGTCTCATGGCCTTCCTCGTTAGCAAAGGTAAGGAAGGCGCTTTGAAAATCAAACAATGTAATTTTTGAGTTAAAATCGTGAAATAACACTCGAGGCTGATTTCTAAGTATATAATATTTCGTGTAGGTACCTAGCTGAAAAGTGAGTAAGGAGGTCTTTGAGGATCATTTTTCACAACAATAATATTGATTCTTAAACCACACACACCGACAGAAGCTCTACAGTAATTGTTAAAGGTTAAGAATAACGTCTGCAAAAGCACATTTCCTGTATTTACGTATGGGAGATTAGGGTTTCTCTTTAATTTTTAAGTTTGTGTTAATTTTATTGTTTGATTAGAGGCAGAAGAACTACAGATTCTTTGAAAATTTCAATAGTATTTATCTATCTAATATGATGATTTACGAGATACAACCCACAGGCAGACGGATGGACAAACGGACAGCATATGGTTCTATTAATACAAATTTCCATATCTTGAATACCTTGGAGTTAATGCCACCAGACTCGGTATAGTCACAGTATACTATACAATGTATATAAACTGTGGTATAAATAGTTAACGTATCACACTAACTTATATACAAGGTAACACATAGGTTAATATGATTCACTGTGTGAAGTAAGTATGACTATTGTCGCATAATTAATATGGTCAGTACCCTTAGTAAGAGTTTGAGCTCACGAAAACTATCATAGTTTTCGTAATTGTAAATTATCTTTCTATATGCATTTCACTGAAAAGTATCCAAATATACTTAAAATTTAAGAAGACGCAAATGATTTAATGAATTTAAAGGTATATTTTTATATGCACAGCAAATAACTTATTACCTGTCAAGTTATTTACAGCAATTAAATACTTTTTACATCAAAACAATTATTTTACTGCAAACAAAACATTTGTTGAACAAAACTAGTGCTGAAAATAATTAAAAAATCTGAAGTAACAAAAAAATCTTGTTTAATTGTACAGAAATATGATTTTCATATCAAATATACTGATTGCACAGCAAACATATACTGATTGCACTGCAAACATATACTGATTACACAGCAAATATACCGATTGCATAGAAAATTAACCAGGGCTTCGACGCAAAATACTCACACTCATAACAAAACAACTATTTTTGCAACAGGTTTCCCATTAAGCATTTCAAAACTTGCTCAACATTGGGACACTTTTGATGGTTATAAAAATAAAGCGAGTGTGCTTATGGCCACACGACTGAAGTGAAACTTCTTTAGGTCTAATGATCTGAAAATCATAAACTTATCCTGAAGATTTGTTGATAGAAAAAAACCACCAATCCGCGCTGAGTCCGTTATCACCCCCCAATCTGCACCCAGGGTTCATTATCACCCAACAATCCGCGCTGGGTCCGTTATTACCCTCCCATTCGCATTGGGTCCATTATCACCCACCAATCCGCACTGAGTCCGTTATCACCCACCAATCCGCACTGGGTCCGTTATCATCCACCAATCCACACTGGATCCATTGTCACCCACCAATCCGCGCTGGATCCGTTATTACCCACCAATCCGCACTGGGTCCATTATCACCCACCAAACAGCGCTATGTCCGTTATCACCTACCAATCCACGCTGGGTCCCTTATCACCCACCAAACCGCGCTGGGTCCGTTATCACCCACCAATCCACGCTGGGTCCATTATCACCCACCAATCCGCGCTTGTTCCGTTATCACTCACCAATCCGCACTGGGTCCGCTATCACCCACCAATCCGCGCTGGGTCCATTATAATCCAATAATCCGGACTGGGTCCGTTATCACACACCAAGCACTAGATTCATGTATTTTGTGACGGGTATTGTTCATTGTTTACCGATAAGTCACCAATGACACTAATCGTAACACGAAATCCTAACACATTCGCCAGTTTAACCCCCAAGTCAAGCGTGCCTAATGAAGTTTTACTTCAAAAATTAGATTCTTATGTCAATTACAATGGTATTTCACTTAGGTAAACTGCTGTATGAGATAAATATATGACAGCTTTGTTTAAAAAAAAATATGTAATATATTTGTTGTGAGGTGGTTATTATTAGCTATGCATTCTTGAAAAGCTTTAGTTTTAAATAAACAGCGATGCATCACGAACTTAAATAGTTACTAATCTAACAATATTTTGAGGTAACTATTTTGCTGTGCAATAAGTATTTTTGCTTAGCATTGGGAAATAATATTTATACAAAATGTAATTTTTTTGATTTGCAGTTAAATACTAGCCGAATCTAAACACTGTTTATTTGTATTTAAACGAAAACAATAAAATCAGTACACTTAGTACGAGTGCGAGCTCACGAAAACTATTATAGTTTTCGTAATTATTGTGAAACTCATACTGAGGGTACAGGTTATGATGACTAAGGAAGTCAGTGTGAGCTACGTGTAAAGTGACCTACGCTTGTTAATAGTCTTATTTCAACAATTATGTCATTCACAAATCTGCGGCGCAACTACTTGCTAGTACCCACGCCTTTAATTAGTTCAAAAATCCAATGGCAGTCTTGTACCTAAATATTTTTGAGATAATTATAGTGTACTGTAGGTATAAGTATTAAATGCTATTTAATCTCGTTTTTATCATAGTTTGATGTTTACTCTGTTCGTTGTCTGCCGTTTTATTTTCTCTGCACCTTCTTTCCGGTGGACTGGTAGAAAATGCCATACTGGCATTAAGTCCGCCAATTGCATTTAAAGGCTATAAAGATTAAATAAAATAAACTATTTATTTATTTCACGTGAAACAGTTCACATTAGAAAATTGACCGAAAATTATAAAAAAAAATTAAATTCCAAAAAAAGGGAAAATTTGGCGTCACCTGAAAGTCCCAGCTACTAACACTAATTTCGTAATTAAGGTAGAGGTGTCTGTGTTCTTGCAATGCCTGCCTTAAGTTTAATCCAAGCAAGCAAGGTGAAGAGTGGATAAAGCAGCACGATTCGCTTCCCCGCATCAGCTATCTTCACAACTAGAATCCACTTTACTAAACCTGGCACTTGTTCTATTAAGGCATTGACTTTTATAGGATTGACCCAATTGAACGAGTACCCTGAACAAGTGGAACTCTTGAAGAAGATCTGGTTTACGAAATACGCACGCCACTGGACCGGCTTGTGCAAGTGCAGTTGTGCCTTCGAAAACATCTTCATGGCGGAACTGAAAGGCGATGAGGTGCTTGGTAAGTTATTAAAACTTTTTTAGAAACAAGCACAAAATTATTAAGCCACCTTAGAAGAGCATTTTTTCGCTGGTGGAAGTACATTGCAGTGCATTTTTTTTTATTAATTACATATTTAAACAGCTACTAAATAACAGGGGCGTCCTTAACCTTAAGGCCAAAAGGGCCACGACTTGAGGCGGAGGCTACGAAAGACCAATTCTGGCTGCTGTTTTATTTAAGGACCCGGGAATTTAAAATATGTTCACCGCTGCTCAATAAACATTATGAGATAGAGATCAAAGGATTTTCTGATCAAAAAAAGAGCGTAGGCAGCTTAACTAGTAAGAAATTTCTTAGGTCGTACTTGTCTGCGAACTCATTAGAAATCATAAGTAGAAAGTAAAAAAACTTATCATAGAAAAAAAAACAGTACCTACCTGATTCAAATAAATTTGATATACAATCAACACTCTTAGGTAAGGCATTAGGTACCTACCTACTTATCCATCACCTATAGCCAACACGGCCAAGAAAGGAAAGACAAGCATCTCAATGGCTATTATTTATGGGGAGCTTATCAGAACATTGCAATTGTTCAATTTGTAACAACTGTATAGCTACTGTGATTGATTAACTAACAGTCCTCTACACTGCAGGTTCTATTCGTATTAATTATGAATATTAGGTATAAGTTTGTATTTTCCATACATCATATAACAAACGTAACGTAACTGCCCTTACACATAAAAAATAATGGATATATGAAATGTGTTATGTTTTAGTTTGGTTTTTGACTGCGATTAATCTATAATCTTGTCTTGGTCCACTTGCAGCAAATTTGCTTAACTAAACTCGATTCCACCAAAACGAGATTCAACAATGATTCAACCCCTATGGGTTTAAAACGAGATTCAACAATGATTCAACCTATGGGATAATTTTTGAATTTCGAGATTTAGCAAAATTGCTGCAAGTGGGCCTTACACGGCAATATCTTTGAAAATATTACTAAAGGCACTGTTGTTGTATATTTAATAGGGGAAAACGAAACATTTTTATCTATTAAGGAAACATTAAGTCTGACCTGACTAAGCTACGTAGTAATTATGACAGTAACATGCCCTTGGGCATTTAACTTCTATCTGTTCACTGCGTACCTACCAATACATACCAAATCTATGGTTCCAGGTCTCCACAGCTGGTTGTTCTTCGCCAAGCGAGAGTTGGACAATAAGGCCAACTACTTGGGTCACATCGACAAATTGGACCTGTCTGGAGTAAGTGTAAATTGTTTATTTTTTTATAATCTCTCTATGATTTTATCATATAAAATATCAATTTTAAAAGAGGTAAGGCATGGCCGATTTCCCGCCTGAATTGGAGCTTCCGTCTGGGGAAGTAACATACACCTTAAGGAAAATCACTGTGAAAGAACACCAACTTATGATAGTGTTATATTTCTGTCGGTGAGTAAGGTTCTATGGCTCCACAAGGTAGGCACCGGTGCAAGTATAGCGTTGTTAGCCTTTTTAGGCTCTGGTAGCCGCTAACCATCAGGCGGGTCATCATTTTATTTGTTTGCCACCCTTACATAGAAATGAAACGTTTATATACCACTGTGCAAACCGTTTAATTGATTCATGACGGGGTTAGTCGAGTGGCCGACCTTAAGCAAGAGCGTATTTACTCTGGGGCCAAAAGAACCATGCCCCTGAAGGCAGACTGCAAGGAGCTGCTCCAAGAGCTGTGCGCGTGGGAAATCCATACAGAGGAACTATACCGGGCGTCAGATTTCAAAATACACCCCTGACCGTAAGCGTAGTTTAAACTAAAAACTAAATAATATCTTAACCTTAATAAAATATGTCGCAAGTTTGGTTTTTCCATACATGATCCAATGTTTAATAAACATGAACTTACGTCGTGTCTGTAATTGAATTGTTTCATGCTTATTTTAAACTTTAAACTTAGCGTTATCGTTCAAACTACTTAGATCAATGGATAAAATTGCCATTGCCTATGCTCTCAAGGTGCTTTATCCCCGCCAACATGATCTTCTTTTTAAATTCTTTTCAATTCACAGAAAGGGCTAATCCTCAAGCAGCACTCCATCCTGAGCAACACAAAGGACGCGCCCGAAGTGACCATGTTCGTGGGCACATCCCCCGAGCTCGAGACGGCGCTGTACACTCTCTGCTTCATGGCCCGCCCCGACAGGCCCTGCCGTGTGCGGTACAACAACGTCCAGTTCACCATACAGACGAAAAGCCTGCGCTCAGACAATGTGCTGCTCCTCGATACGGCTTACCCAGTATTCTAAGATATGTTTCCATAATAAAACACAATACTATATGATATAGGTATCGACAAAGATCTTGAGCAAAACAACAGACATATAAACTTGAGCATGATGAAGTTTTTGTACGTAAAATTGCTACTGCGCAGGCTTCCTTGTCTATGGTCGTTGGTCAATAAGTTTGCTGGGGTGTATACTGTGCAGTAGTTTTTATCCGTTTAATCACACCAAGGACGCAACAAACGAAGTTTTAATTTAGGTAAACGTTATGGTTTGTTATTCTATGGATTCTAATTTGAATAAAAAAAATATGTGTGTAGTGTTTAATAAAACAACGGTGCACAAAAATGGTACTATTATTAAAGATCTTCATTAATTTGGTTATAATTCTATGCATATACTTAGTTTGTTATTTGAACCATTATTGTTATTTGTGGAAATCTATAGCATGCCGATATCATGTCTATTTTATTGAATTGTTTTCATTTTTTATTATTTTTCCGCCGTAGTAGTTCTAAACTATAGTGACTGTATATATCATCACGTAATTATTTAAATAGGAACAGAAACTTTATAAAACTGAAATTTAATGCCTCAGCTCTTTGTAGATTAATTTATAATAAAATATAACTTTATACTTATTTGTGTTAGTTATTTGCACCTAAATAGATAATTTAAAGCAATCTGAAGAATTATCTCAGGTCATGCCCTACTTGATAATATTCGAATTGCACACACCACTAAATAACCACCACTAAGTAGTTGGGTAGGTACTTAAGCGCAAAGATAAACCAATTCATAGTAATTGTTTGCGTATATGAAATTATATGAAACAAATATGACAACAGAGTTTTTGATACACTTTATAAAAACAATTACAAGGTTATAGGTAGACAGCCACAAGTCAAGTTACCCAAAACAAGATTTATATCCCAACAAATTTTGAACTCTATTTTGCTTTCGGTACAACACATTTTCAAATTGAAGCTTTTTAATATCGAAGTAAAGCCACAATAGTTAAAATATATTGAGGTACGGTAAGTAAATATGTTATCGCATTAATTAACAGCGTACAGAGGCCCAAGCACGAACTTTGACAGATCCGCAATCGTATCATTACCCGTCAAATTTTGTATGGAAGCCAGTTTGTTACCACGTCCGGTAGACGGCGCTACTTAGTTTTCATAGAAGCTTTGACGATACGATACAATTACGGAGCTATCAAAGTTCGTGCTTGGTTCTCAGTTCGCAAATCTACCGCTAGAGTCCTCGTACCTTCTACTTAGAACTGGTATTTAACTCCGTAAAGAGCTGCTAAACACTACACCCTTATTAATAAACGAAAACTGCGCTTGGATAAGTAACTCCATGTTTTGTCTCAGTCTATTGAATGACAAATGGCATTTGAGTGGTATGAAAAAAACACGGCGTTACTAGTTATAGCTTATTCCTTGTTTATTAATAAGGGGGCTGAAGAGAATCCTAAAATCATCGCGAGATACACCGTTTTCTTATTTAAGTCAACGTGGAATGGCAAGCTGCTACTTTCAATAATAAAATAAAATTTCTTAATAATGAGGGCTATCGCGTATGAATCCGCCGCTAGAGGCGCTAGTGTAGCGTGAGGTCTCCGAAGTGTCAAATGTTATTGCTTGTTGGTTGACTACGCGGGTTTATTTCTAATTAAAATAATGTTGTGAATAATTGGTAACAATTCGGCTTAATTATGGCAAATATGAGTTATGTGGCAATGAATGTCAGTTATTAAAAATTTGAGCTTAGAAAAATTATTATGTTCCCATTTTTTCCGAATAAAACGGAACTGCGCGTCACTGTGGCATGGCCTATTATGTTTAGGATATGGTTCTTTTGTGTTAAAATGCGATCTAAATGTAACCTTTGATTTCATGTGCGTATTAATAAACTTTAAAAGTTACAATTTAGGACCTCACTCAACAGTGGCGCCATCTGGTGAGGCAGAAAACGGTAGCCCTCATTACACTACGAATATCAAATTACGGTCTTGATATGCCTTGCTAATATATATATTTTGTTTATAGACTTTGTATCGTGTTGGTGGTTAAAAATTTGTTTTCAATTGTTTTTATAAATAAAATTCCAGCATCTTTTCTCCAGTTATTTAATTCAATGAAAATGATATTACTGGCGCCTTTGTTTTATTGTCTAGGTAGCACATTGAGAGGTATCTATACTAGTTCCGCAAGTCTGTGCTTAGATTACTATAAGATTCACATTTAGAAAATACATCAATTCACTAATCTTTAAACATTACAGCTATTCTTATATCTACTCGGGGCAAATATTGCATATAAAAAAGAAAATTTCTACAAAATAAAAGATCTAATTGACCCGTGTCTTTAATATGCATAGAAAGTTCAAGTAAACTTTATTTATTATTCATGTCTGCGTTTAGAAAAATGCGATGATTTAATTTGACAAAATATCTTTCTTAAATTTTACTTATCAAAATATAATAATAAATAATCTTAACACCTTCAAATAAATAAAATACTTATATAAACGACATAAATTTTATTGGATTCAGAGCTGAATCTACGATCTTAATTAAATTAAAATATTTTACGATTAGGCACTTAAAAGTATTAAATAAATACGGCTAAATAATAGGGAATATGCAAGTCATACAAATAAAACACTAATTTTATGTAAACCCTATTACTTTTGAATAGGGTATTTGACAAGTTTTAGAAAACGATCTCACTTTATTGGCTAATGTTTATGGAGTCCGTAAAAAGGATATTCATCATGCTGTTGTGTATTTCAGTAAAAAAAAACAAATCAAAAACTCCATTTACAAGTTGCCGCGAAAACGTTTCTCTGGACAATATGGCGTCTAACTAGTGTATGACGTCACAAGATTGTTATTAAAACGTCAAACGATACAATGTAATGTCACTTTAACCGGAAGTTTACTTGCGTGTGACGTCATCTTAGGCTCCGCTAATCCCAAGCGTTTTGGGTCACGTGACAATAGATAAGAAAACTTATATTATCTTTTTCGGGGGTTTTTAGTAAAATTATGAATATTTTTTTGTAAAAATAGTAAAAACCCCTGCTAATATTTATTCTAAACACAGATGCTAACAATTGGCACTTTATTTTTAATACTATCGAATACCCTATTGTCCCTCCATCAATATTTTGTAATATTTTTTTTATAAGAAATTAAAAGAGCGAAAAACTTGTGGAAAATTAAAATATCTTAAACGCGATAGCGGTTGTCACGTAGAAATGCATAATATCAAATCAACAAAGAAGAGCCACTTTTCAAAGGATATGTCAAAGTCAACGAGACCTAGTGCGAGTGCGTATTGCGCACACTCAATAACCTCATAATGTAACTGTGGCCTTGTTTGTTTATAGGTTACTATAACTGTTCTAAAAAATTGGACTTTTGGTGTGGGCGTTTAAAATGCCTTTAGAAGGCTATTTTTTTCAGATACATTACAATTTTTTTTTGGCCATTGAAAATTTGTATACTAAGTATAATGCAACCTATGTAACAAAGTTATAAAAAAAATAATCATGCCCCCTAGTATGAGCACCACAATATGATAAATGTATATAGCGTTTTTATCACGCTCAATTGTCTGATTACTTTGGAGTTTGACAGATAGACGCTTATAGCGTAAAAGTGATATAATGTAAATATTGGTGCTCATGCAACGGGAACTGCATATTCCCTATTACTTTTTTAATAGTTGATATATTTCTATTTACAACCAATAGCTAATCAAGTTGGACCAGGTTGTCATAATTATTCAATTGATAAAAAAAATGTGATTTATATAATATACAGTTTCAACAAGGATAATATTAAAGTGTCAACTCCAAATCCAGTAAAAAATACATTAACTAACTAGTCAGTGTGTTTCTAATTAAGACTTATCTGAGAATTAAACCTTTAGATTAATTTGCCTTTGTTTAATAATGTCACGATTTTCTAAAATATCAGTTTTAAAAACATAAAAGTCTGTGACAATAAAAAAATGTTTTACGGCTAAAAATAAATGATATGAGTACATAAGATCCAAAATAGTATTTTGTAAAAACTGTGGCTGATGATAATTATATATAATATAATAAAAATTATAGCAACTAGATATTTATATTTAACAAAATACGATTTAAAAAAACTTGATGGCCTATAATAACAAGTCTTTTATACTTAAACATAAATGGCATTTTATGAAACAGTATCCAATACTTTTGACTAGAATACAGTTGGCTGAATACTTACTTTTAGTAGAATATTTTATAAAAAATTTTTACTTTTGTACCATCTATTTGATAACAATATTAAATGATATGTACAAATAAAAGAGAAAGCCTTACAGAATATTTATGACAAGACGATCTTAGGTTATTATTATAACTTAAAGTTAACTTTTTATAAATCTTTATTCTCGAAAATTGTAGTGATAAAATATTTTCAACACGAATTCATAAATATTTTTTTTCTTAAAACACTGACTACTTACAGTTATAATAAAAATATTACACATCAACATACTGTACAAAACAATATTTATAAATGACAACTTTTAAAATTATAGTAAAGAGGACTCTAATCAAACGAAGTAAGAGCCGTATTCGTGTGGCATGACACCACGTCTCGGATAAAACGTGTGTGTGAGCGAGTAATCGAGCAAATTCGTTATGTTAGACGTGTAAATGTCGGCGAATCGGAACAGCCTCCTGGAGAAATACGTGGGATTGTGATAAGTCCGGAACACACTACCAAATTGTGGATTAAACACCGCCTTGATTTCGTTCCTGGAAGTGAGACAAGAGCTCCTACATTCCGTCAGCGTGAAAGGTAAGCAAATACAAGCAGTTATTTACAGCGAATCAAAAAGCTATTTTTAATATCTTGGTAGCAGTTATAGACTCTTAGCTTGGCAAACATACACTACAATTTCAATATTATACTCGCTTCTATGATTCTAAGTGCAGGTTAATTGATAAATTCTCAAGTACAAAATAATTTTGTCATCATGATCATAGCCATAACATAATAAATAACTTGATAGCTCAATCAAAATGCACAAAATCAATGCTATTTTTTGAAATAGATGAATTTTATAAGCTTTTTTAGAAGTATATGTCATAATTTATCAGACAGATTTCAGAAAAAAAACGAGACTTTTTATCCTTCTTACATAAAAAGTTTGAACCTTAGTGACTGGTTTTAAAGCTCAAATTTAACAGCGGATTTTTAGCAAAAGGTACATATTTTGTAGTTGAAGGTTTAGGGATGTTGCTCTAATAATCTACTCACTACAGCTGGTGTGCATATTTGCAGCAATACTCAAAACTGCTTACAAAGTAAGATTTAGTATCGACTATACAAAGTAGTACGATGAGGAGTACGATTTCGCAAGTGGGTTCGGTCTACGGTCATAGAGGTTAAGCAACTTTAGCAAAAACCTGTTTTAGGATGATAGGCCAAACATTTTATACGTCGAGCTCCCTATGCTTAGGAATACAATTCAAGCTGCATTACCATTCTTCTAGCATTCGTTACCATCCACCAATCCAGACTCTGCAATCCTTTTTCTTAGCAACCACTAATCGACACTGGACCTGCATGGTGAATCATGGTCCAATCTATATTTGTTTCTTAGATTTTCACGTACACCACTCATTAAATAAAAAGATTTATTTCTGAAGACGCAGTCATGCAAAGGCTGCGAAACGTCAGATAAATAAATTCAGTGTATCTAACCCGTTAAAATCGTTTTATTTAATGGTCCAATCTGTCAACTCCACATGTGCCTCAGCAATGGGGACATCAGTTTAATTAAACATAAATTATTTCGCGTACCTCAGAAAATCCCTCTCTGCCATCCACTGGGCGATGACCGCGACAGCTTCGGGCTCCGTATAGTCCTGGTGGTCTTCTATGAGCTGAGTCAACATCTGCAGCCAGTTGGCGTTCTCTTTGAACGACCTCGTGTTCAAAGTGTTGATCTCGTGCTAATATGAAATTAAATTTTCACGATTACAAAAATACAGAAGAAATTAAAAATGATTAGTTTATGTTCACTTTCAGTTTGTTAAATAACAAAAAACGTAGTGTAGGTTTATGTGCCCAAAGGGTAACAATGGAACCCTATTACTAAGCCTTTACTGTCTGTCTGTCCATTCGTCAGCAAACTGATTCTTGAAAACCGAGATTCAATATGTGTGATTTAGTTGTGATTGTGCAAATACTGCAATCTTAGTTTTGGACAAAATAATAGTTGTAAGATATCCAGAATATATTATTGTTATAAGATTGATATTTGTGATATTGCTGTGCATCGATATAAGATAAATCGCATCCGATGCGCGCATTGATGCCAAATGAATGTCAGTCTAGTATCGTAGTACCACAAGATACGATGCGATCCGAATAAGAACCAAACGAGTACATTTTTTTTATACGCGGTTATTATTAACGTCGCACACAACAGAGTCGAACTGAAATATCAGCGTTGCGATGCTGAGCCAAACTTTTTAGAGTGTCAGTCAACATAAGTATAGTGCAATTTAAAAATGGCGGCTATAAAATAAGCGCAAATCGCGGCGCAGTAAACGAAATGTAGTCGTTCTAGGTGAGTCGGACTGTTTTTGGGGTACAACTCCCAGCCGAGGGTGCGCAGTAGGGTTTTTAGTGGGAAGGACTTGAGGAATATTCGAACGATGTTCCGTCGGAGGTATCGTCAGAGGATAGTCCTGCATAACCTCGCAGCTTATCAGGCGGCAGGATATACGTCACGTATTTTCAGCACGGTATAGAAAAAGTTCGCACTGAACTGAACTGAAACATGTGTAAAGTTACGTTCGCTGCTAATCATAATCAAACTCATTTATTCAGTTAAGGCAAACAAGCACTCATAAATGTCTAGAAGCTACGCCATCGTTTCGTAAATCTACGGCGGGAGACCTTGTACTGAGAGGAACCGGCAAGAAACTCAGCGAGGGCTGTTTTTTCTCACTATTTTATTATTTACAGAGTCATCAAGTAAAAAATATGGTATTTGACAGTATTAAAAACAAAGTGCCAACCGTTGGAATCTCTATATAGAATGAATATTGGCAGAGGTTTTTATTACTTTTACAGATAAAATAATCATAATTTTACTAAAACTCAAAAAAAATGATAATATTTTTTTATCTATTGTCAAGTGACCATAAAAGCCTGGGTTTGAGGCGGAGCCTAAACTATTGTCACACACATCTAAACTGTCAGTCAAACTAAAATTAGCTCTGATGTTCGTCGTTGACGTCAGACACAGGTAAAGACGCCATACTACCCAGAGAAACGTTCCACCTGCATAATAATAACTGAAAGCACAATATTTGATTTCGTTTTATTACTGAAATACGCAACAGCATGATAAATAACCACTTTTAATGCAATCTATAAACTTTAGTAAATAACGTAAGATTGTTTTTCAAAAAGTTGTCAAATACCCTATTTCACTACCGCCGTAAAGTTCAAGTGCTGCTTCGAGTCCAAGTGTTCAAAAGAAGTTTAAGTGCTTCACCTAGTACATAGGTTAAATTCTCATTTATATTTTATTTAGTATGGCAACATTGTGATGCCTTTTGTAATAGTTAATTGATCAACTTACTACTTTTATTGTATATACATTTGTTTTCCTTTTAGCATGTGGTGATCACCTTTAAAATTTGTTATACTTAGCCTATATCTATCTTATGATAATTTTATATGTTTGTAATTGTATAAACAAAAACTGGTGATCCTATTAAAATAAAATAAAAAAAAGTATGAAAGGCACACAATAAATAGCAGCTTTTCTTTATATTTCACTCCATGGATAAGTCAGTTACCGTTAACTCGTTGATGATGGCGCCAGTCCTCCAGCCGTGCTCGAGCGTGACGTCAGCGAGGTCGCTGTACGGGTGATCTCCGAAGTACAACACCTGGTGCCCGCTCCACCCGGTCAAGTCCTGCAGCTGCTTTACTGTGCCCTTGTTAAAGAAATGGTTGTCTGTAAAGTCGGTTTACGGACGATAATTTTACGTGATAACGTGTCGTTCGCTGTTTTCCTCGGGGCAGTTTTGTGGGTCTTTTTGTACCGGTTCATTTGAACCAAACACGCCTATGGGAGCCCGAGTTAGGCTGCTTTTCCACCAGAGATGTGCTATGCTACTTTGCTGTGGTTGCGTTTGATATCCACCAATCAAATTCATTTCTCCACATAGCATAGCACTAGTGGAAACGGGTTCAACTAAGCTGTTTTTTTTATATGGAAGGATACCTGCTATGGATACGCTCTGGATGTGGACTATGATGGCCGCGAGTGGTGTAGCTATATCAAGAGAAGAGTGCCCGCGTTTGTCACTGAAAGTAGACATGCTATCGTGGAAGCAACAAGTTATTTTGTATCTCGCAATGTGCGTAGAAGTACTCATGGCGGAAGATGAATCGTTGTTCCTCTGTTTACTTCAACGAAGAAATCATAGATACATCGCAAAGATAGCTCAAGCTGCGCATCTCCCTCGCGCTAAGCTTAGCATCAGTGGAAACGGTCACGTAGTTTCGTAGCTTAGCTGACACATCCTCGCAGCATAGCTGCATAGCACTTCTCTGGTGCAGCCTTAGGCTCCGTGGGGGTGAGGTACTCGACGAGGAGGGGGCGGTGGGGGGCCGGGGGAACCCCTCGACCTCACCTCACACACACCGCGGAACGTCGAACAATCTCGTGACAACGTGACATGATATTACACCTTTTCGTGCATGCAGCCGGTGTTCATTGATTTATAAGACGTTATCACGTCAAAAACAAATATCTATGGTTTTGGATCTTTCTGTAAGTGGGCATAATAAATAAATAAAAGTATTCTTTATATAAATAACTGCTAATAAATAAAGAGACCATTCACATAGACAGACAAGGATCGAAACAAATACCGCAAGTGTACATATCAACAGTGGTAAAGCGCTTACGCCACTTTAGTGCTGCTTAAAAATTAACATTGAATAAAAACTGAAATAAGGTTAATTTTTAAGCAACACAGAAGTGGTGTTTTATCGATTTTCCTTTTCTACTGTTGATATATACTTCGCGTGAAAAAAAACATAGCAAAAGAGTGTTTTGCTATGTTTTTTTCACGCGACACGCAACAGTGCCGAAATATCGGAGACTCACTAAAAACAAGGTACATGGTATCAATACCGTTAGTAACGTAGACTCCAACTTACCTCATAGTAAATGATACCCTTCTCAAGTGCTGTTACTTTCTCCCAGATGTGTGTGTTAGCATTTTTATCAAACACCCTGATGGGGCGCGACACCTCCGTGAAAAACTTGGGCTTGTTCGCATTCACTATCACCACATCGAAGTGATCTCGCCAATCATGGCCTACAAGCATCTCCATACCCGCATTACTAAAAATATAAGATTTATTTTATTTTTCTATTAAAAGCAATTAATTGCTAGATTTATAGGCGAAAGTCAAATAAAATTTTACTCGAAAATATTCAATGGTTGATGTGTAAAAGTGGTTCTACAAGCGTTGACCTTTTACCGTTTACGCAGCGCACGCATACGGAAACGCTCAAAGGATTTTTATACGCCGTTTTTGCATCATTTTTCATTGATGGTCCATTCTTATCACACAAATATTATAAAGGCAAAAGTTTGTGAGTGTGTGAGTGTATATGTTTGTTACTTCTTCAGGTCTAAACGGCTGGAGCGATTTTAATAAAATTTGGTATGGAGTTAGCTGACACCCTGGATTAACACATAGGCTACGTTTTACTGCGGAAAAATATCCCAATAATAAACCTTTTAGTATGGCTAAATAGAAACGATAATAACAAAGACTATTCTTACACAAAATGGAAAGGGCTGTTGGTAACAAGGAATAACTTTTTATCGCAGCCATGCAACATCTCAAAGTATTTCCTGAGGTTTGGGTTGGGCCTTATGTACTCATCAACATTCTGCGCTACAATTTTATGCATTACTGGATGACAGCTCTGTACAGAGTTCTGTAAAAGAAACAATTTCTTTTAGAATATAAGGGGCTTTAGGTTTTGGACACATACACCGGATATTGGCAAAATCCCGAGGGAGGCATCACTGAAAAAATCTAAGAAATTCCGGAGCGGTTCTTACCCGCATAAATCGCGTTATGAAATTTGCTATAAGATTTCACATTCTATGAGAGTTGAGATACCACAGACGCGATGGGAGCGGGTAGAAATCGCTTCGTGAATTTTTAACCTCTTCCTAATTTATATTTATACTACAGCATAAAACAAACAATAGTTTGTGCTAATGCATTATCTAAGTAATAATTAGACTTACTACCGCCACTTGGCCATGCGTACTCAGCACATTACATGTTCATTGGTACACAGTATGTAGTATTATAAACTGTGCTATATTAATTACTTCACTTTTACCCTGATCTTTTAAATTGTGAATGAATGATTTAAAATTAAAATCAACATCATTCGAAATTTAATTGGCAGTTTTAAAAAACATTATATGATTCTAAGGAAGAGTATACTAGGAACTGTCCATTCGGTCTAGGTGTCGGCTGGATTCAAATCATCGACTTCCACTATCCGGGCGGATGCAGTAACCCCTAAAGAACTGAGACGTTACAGCTGGACCAGAAGGATTTTTTCAAGTAAAATTTTCTTTAGAATTATAAACCAAGCAGTCATTGTTTAATATAAAATATAAAGGCAACAAAAATACATGACATAATTCATTCTATTTTATTTTTTAAGCACTGATCTGCTTTTTTTTTAAATCAAAAGAAAATTTGTAGTAGAAAAATACATGATAATTATGATATGGCCTAACTATTAAAATAAGACAAGAGATACATTAAAATAGCACAAACTTAAAAACTATATGGCTTAACCTACTTACCTACATAAATAAAGAATATACAAAATAAAAAATATATCACCCCCTGCTCCGCCATCACGAATGGTGCACAATAGGCTGGCAGCATTGCCGCGTTGGATGGCAAGTCTGATCCGTTGACCAAGATAGCTGCCAGCCTTTTGATCACCAGTAACTTCAGTGAGCCTCTTTGACAATTCCTTAAAAAAGGAACGAGCGCTTGGACCCAATGGGCACATAGTCTCAACACCAAACGGCACAAATATGTAGTTCTCATTGACAGCTGAATATTTGCGCCGTTTGGAGCACTCGGCAGCGTATCCATGCAGGTTGCGTCCTATACAAGTGGACGACTGCTTCCAAGGAATGAGCGTCATCCCATCAGGTCTAATGCCATCGTCGCGGAAGATGCCATTATTAGGCTCAAGGACCGCTGGTACGTACAGCGACAAGAGCCCTGCGGATGACGTCATTGATGCAGGCGTGGCGGGAGACTCAGCCAGTGCTCATTTAGCATGAGAGGCCATGGTGTCCCAGCTCACCGATGCGAGTACCGCAACGACAATGGGGGATGATAAGTCTTGACGCCAAGTCTAAGCGATATCGCAAGAGACAGAGTGCTCTTGTAAAGCAAAGTCCCGATATTGGCTGAAGGTAAAGCTTGCAGCCAGTAACCAGACTCTGCCTGAAATACCGATAGAAGGCGAGCACGCTCAGTGGCGCTTTCAGAGGTTGTTAAAAGATCACTCTGAATATGCAAACAAAGAGGCTCATCCCACTGCCTGAGATGATAAACTATATTATGATATTAAGTTAAAACTATTATAATTACCTTCACATCCAAAAACAAAATTTCTGGATGATAATCAATATGATTCTTAATGAAATACTCAGCGACATTGCATAATAGCCCCATTTCAGGAACAGAGAATAAATCTGCCAAGTGCACCATTTTTGCGCGATTTGCCTGAAGTGTTGGAAAAACCGTTTAGTTGTTTAAAATCGCAATTTGCACACACAATGTTACTTTGATTTGTCTTAGTTATTTTTTCAATGGCCAATAATCCAAAGTTTCCTTCATTCTACAACATTTGTACAAATCCTAATAGTCATCAAAACTGATACAATCTGTCTGAATCTACATAAAAAAATAATAGTCAACATTTTTTATAACAACACAAAAGTTTTTGAGAATTTAGCCATTAGACTAAAATTCCCATCATGTGGTTTTCTAGATACCATTACTTTTATGATACTACGATAAATGTTTTTATTTCTGTTCACAGCTTCATATCATTGACATAAAATCTAATATATAAAATTCTCGTGTCACGGTGTGAGTAATTGAACAACTCCGAAACGGCTCTAACAATTTTCTTGAAATTTTATATGCATATTCAGTAGGTCTGAGAATCGGAAAACATCCATTTTTCATCCCCCTAAATGTTAGGAGTGGCCCACCCTTAATTTTTTTATTCGGACTCAACTTTTTTTTATTTTTTTATGATACATCATACATAAATACAAAAAAACCCCTTAATTTTCACCCTTCTACCACCAGCCCCTATTTATATGGCAGTACAAAGTCCTCTGGGTCAGCTAGTAATATATAGAAACTTATACTCATTTCATATTCTTATTGTGTAGGTAACCCAGTTTGCTGTGCAATAAACCAGACAAATTGCCAATGTCAATCATCTGTGTATTATTTACAATTGCGCGTCATTGTCATGTCATGTTACATATGGGTTGTGTCAACAGAGAAGGGGAGCATAAATGGATGATTGCTTACAAGTGCCATGATTACTGTTGTACACAAGCGAGCAAGTTGGTTTTGGTGTGCACATCAGAATAATGACAATTCATAGGTTTCATGTTTCACTTTGGATTCACCATTATCATTCACGTTTCTTTTCCCAATTTTAGCTCAATTTGTGTACAATTGTGATTAAAATACATTGATCATGCTATTGAGTTTAATTTGAAATTAAGTACTAATTCATTGCCAGTAGCATAAAAAAATTATATAGGAAAATCAAATGGGAAAAAATCTTTAAAAATAAATCAATTTTAACGCTAGATTAACAAACAATAAAGTCCACTTACTTTATGGGCTCTCATGTCGCCTTCAACATATGCAATAGGGATTATTCTATTCTTGTATAGTTTCAGCACTTCATCAGTAGAAACAGGAGTAAGACCTCGATAGACAGCTCCAAATTGTATTTGCAAAAAAGAATCCAGTTTTAAAAGCAAACCCTTTTCAATGTCATAATGGAGACCTCGCACTGCAAAATTGGGCTTATACTCCAAATTTAAAATTTCTGCAGGGTACTAAAATTAAATTATTAAAAAGAATTAATCAGTCAAAATAAACATGCTATGTATAAATGATATTGAAAACATCTGTCAGAGTTATCTTCAACTTTGTATTACTAGTTGTCATTCTGTAATACCAGCCTTACAGAATAACAACTAAGTGTTGATCTTTACTTGAGAATAGTTAGAAAGGGATGTTGCTATGTGTTCTACAAAGCGACATCCCTTTCTAATCAACACTAAGTTGTCATTCTGTAATACAAGCCTTAGATTGAGACAGAATCATAAAGTCACACAAGCATAAGAAGCTTTAAAAATTTATAGGTTACTCACATTATATTTTTCCAAGAGGACCTCTCTTCCAAGGTTATACAATAAATGCTCCAATGTAGGTTTATAATGGGCCAAAGTGTAATCATAATCAAACCCATAAACTTTCACTTCTGTTAGGTCTAGCTCATTGCAAGCAAATACCCCTTTAGGATTAACATCTTGAGGTAATTTTTTAGCTGAAATACATTTTTTTTATGCAATGAAAGATAACTAGTAGACATACATACAATTGTACTTCAATGCTGCTGACTGCAATTTTTATAGTAAGCAATTTTTTTTTATTAGTGTGAAGAACTGAAGGAAAAACTCCAGCACTATAAATATATATGGCAAAGATCAGTGTTTGAATTCAGAGTTCATATTTTATTAACATGTTTAGGACAAGAACTAGTATAAATAATTGAAATCGATTAAAATTAGCTTTCAAAAATAGATTACATACATCTGCACTTCAGTTTGGTGCGGCAGTAAGCTTCCTTTAATAGTTCCTGACTAGAATATGTTTTCTTGAAAATAAAGTTGCATGATTCAATTTTTAAGGGAAATTTTCGATTGTATTTTATAATACCACCAATTAGATTCATGCACATGCTCATTTTGGATACTTTCTTTGAATCGTGAAAAAACTAAATGAATCCGGCGGTTAAAATATTTTCACTCTTTAGCAGTCTTATTTATAATCTGTTAACAGCGTTAAACTAAAACAAATAACAATCATTAGAACTATTAGAAGAAATAAAGGAACATCGTTGCATAATTCGAAACTAAATTTGAACAAATTCGAGCGATTTACGACGACATGACAGCAGTCAAAAGAAAAGTCAAAATATTGACGATCTGTCTGAGATTTTTTTAATATTTTTGTTATAAGAAGATTACGAATACTAAGTTTGTACAGCCTTGTTCTAATTACTTTTCTTTATTTACATATTTTATATTCAAATACGGGTGTATAGCGTTCTAATTTTAATTAGATACTGGTGTCGATTCTGGCACGATTCTCTAAATCTAAACTTAAATTTGACAATAGTGTATCCTTGTCATTCTCTATACAGAATGAAAAGGAGAGACTGATGTTAAATTTAGTTTTAAGTTTAGAGAATCACGCCAGAATCGACACCATTGGCACGATGCAATAATCAATACGATCTTAAAATCAGTCAGGGTTATATTATCCTTCGTATATATTAGCTCAAAATGCCCTTAGAAGTAATACGTGATGATTTGAAAAATACACTATACATTAGTTTTAAACATAGATTAGTTTAATTTAAGAATCGATAGATATATTCCCTTCTCGTGAATTCCTTAATCATTTTGCTCAACATCAAACACCAGTGCGCGTTTTAAAAAAACTCAAATCAAATCAACTATATAAGATACTTACTTAATTGAATGAATTTGATATTCAATTTTTTCTTAATCATGGCCATCTATACTTTCCTTTCTCTATGGACATATTGTATCTGTTTTTGGCGCCACTTTTCTGGGGATTTTGAAAAGTAGATGAGAGGGAGCTCTCGCTCGACGCTTGACGTTTCAGCATAAGTAAGGTAGATATTGTGAAGGCATATATTGTGCCTGTTTTACTTCTTAATGTCAATTATTGATAATTATTTTCGTGGAAAATCATTTGGCGTTGATCAATGTGTGACACATTAGCTAAACGAAAACAAATAATAAATTTATTACTCAACAACAGATGGTACATGAAAAATTTAATACCCTGATTTGAATACCCTGATAGTTATAAAAGAACTGACACAGATCATTAATGTAAATCAAAAACACAGATCACTTTAAATGTAGCAAGCTAATCAAAAAGCTTAGGCCAAGGACACTATCTTGTGTTGTGCATTCTACTCCATACGAAATGAAAGCGTCAGTTCCTAAAACATTATTTATTCTTAGGCACTTTGCAGACGACGGGGCGGGGCGGGCCGGTCAATTTCGCCGCGAATAATTCAAAGTGAATCCTATACTTCAAACGCACACAGAGGGCAAAAAGACCGCGCCGCAGGTGCCCGGCGGGCAGTGGCGGCGCGGCATGTCCGCGGCTGCCCGCCGTGGATCATACAAACCAGTTTATATGCAGTAACGCAGACGGCGGCGCGGGGCGGTCAGCTCAGTCCGCGCCACGCGCTTATTAGTGATGGACTATTCACTAGAACGAACGTCCTAAACTGACCGCCTCTGCCCGTCGTGTGCTTTGTGTATGCGGCGCGGGCAGCCGCAGACATCGACGGGCAGATGCGGTCTTTATTGCTTCGCGGACAAAATGCCCGCCCCGCCCCATCGTCTGCTCAACGCCTTACTCTTTGAGTATACGTAACTAAAGTTTAATGGCTTTATTATAGTTTATTTTTCTTATTTACCAGACTATTTATACAAAACATTATCAAAGGTGTTTGAAGAAGAAAGATCTATGCACTAGTAATGTTTTTAATTCTTTTAAGCATTTAACTGCTAAAGAAAAGTTTACTAGAAAATTGTGGGTTACCTACAATGCGAAGAGATGGCGTTGCCTTGCAGCCTAAGGCTAGAGAAAATTCGACCGCGGTAGCATAATGGTCAGTGCATTCGCCCGGATAGCGAAGGATGCGGGTTTGAGTCCCATCTGCTGCCTGGTCCGCGTGGAATCTATGAACTAGTTAAGTAGCCATTCAATCTCTTTGTTATATCGGCTTTTATTTTTTTATAGATGAAAATAAAATGAAATTATACCTACTTCTTTAAAATCAACTTATTGAAAGCTTTTTAAAATTTTATTTTTTCTCTACTTTTTCTATTGCTATTTGAATGATGATGAATGTTTGTATAAAATAGATAAAAGTATTAATATAGTAATAAGTTGTTGTTTCCACCTGTGGTTTTCCCTAAGTAACAGTAAGAACCTTCCTACCGACTTAATATTATTTTCCTACTTAATAAATAATAATACTCTTTCATATAATAATATATTCTAATTTTATTATTTGTAATTCTGTAACTTAAAAATCATTGTGCATTAATCAAATAGTACTTATTTCGCTAAACAATAAAACGAGAAGAGTATAAAATATTATATTTTTCACATATAAAAATAACATTCATATTTGTGGATAAGCACTACCGATAAGATTTTTACTACGATAGCGGAAATTGTATGTTATAATATTAACATCTTTGCCAGATAATTTGAGCCGGCAATCATTATCAACTCGAGTCACGTAACATAATGTATATAATGCAATTTCCAATTCCGGTGAAGTGCCGATGAAGAGTGAGTCAACGGGCTTATCCACTCCTTGCTGATTAAAATGTAATTTCATTACGGCACCTTTCTGTAAAAAAAAATATAACCTAAATCAGTTCTAAACTATTACCCATGACTGACCTACCTATCTTTATAGTAGGCTCTATACTTAACGATTAGGTATGAAAAACTAAATTATGTAAAACTATACCTACCGAGGAATTTTAAAGTTAGAAGAGTGAGAGACGCATTGTCGCCATGGGAATTGTAATTATTGCCATTGTGTAATAAAAAATATTCATTTAATTCAAATAACCAGTGTACCTAATAGGTCATTAAATGTATTCAACACTAGTGGCTCGCCCTCGCCTCGCCTCGCTTTGGTGTAGAGGGGTGCTCATACTTGAACTGCTGGCGATCTATCTCAAAATTTTTAGACTTCTTACAATCGACTCTGAGAGACTGCAAGTATGTGTGATGCAGGGTTGTCGTACATACACGATACACCCCACCTACCTACCTACCTAGGTAGGATGTACCGTAACAAATATAGATATTCGTAGGTGGATCGCGATCGACCGTTTGAGCATCCCTGGTGTAGACTATACTGCTATAGGCTATATAATATCACGCCACGACCAGTATTCCTCAGAGTGGTGCAGTGTAGTGTGGGGAGGGTTTTTTAGATTCATCAGTATATTTCTTTTTATTCTTGTTTGCGGAAATCTTCGTGATTCTTTTAATTAAATTTAAATGTTCTTTTTAGAATCAGATTTATTGAAATACTTACACCATTAAATTCTTCGTATTTCAGATAACCTAAATAGTTTAGGCGGTTGGCTTGTTCCTCTTTTGAGAAATATATCCAGTTATGTAATCCTGAAATAAGCACATTAATTGAAATTTTATCTTCAAGTTAGTAAGAATGTGGCTAATGAGACAGCGTTGTAAACTGTTTTGGGTATTTGTGCACTTTACGGATTTTCGCACTTCGTCTTTTATCTTTTCCTATATCATAATGTACATACGATAAAATATCATGTAAAATACTGGTAGATGTCAATCATTTAATCTAAAGCCTCAATGACACGGGGCGAGTTTACAAGCTTCGCTGGCTTGTAGCTCTTTTACAGTACAAAAAGGTACTTTAGTAGCTTTGAGGTGACTTGAACAAAACTAAATTGAGACTGTGTTATTGTTACATGTACAGGCCAAAATTATCATGCCCGACGCAGCTATAGTTGCACTTGATAGCAGAATAGAGATATAATTTCGCCACTTTCTTTGTAGTGTACACTTCTTTAGCCTTTTATTTCACCACCGATTAGTTTTTTTAAAACGTTCTATGGTCTTGTATAGAGGCTAGTGATATCGCACTTTTATTTGATACATTAAAAATACCCAATTAAAATTTTAATTAACCGTTACATTCAATCTAACTAAAATAATACCAGTGCCTACCTGATACTTCTCCATTTTTAAGTTCTGATACAAAACTGTGTTCAAAGCCAGAACTGCTTATTTTTCCTTTTCCTCGTGAGTATAGAGTAAACCACAGCTGCTTTAAGAAATCCCTCTGTTGTTTTGGGTCTGGTGTAACGTAACCTATAAAAAATAATTAGGTAATTCATCATAGAGTCCTAATAAACGCAACCTGTAAAATTAATTAATTAATTCATCATAGAGTCAGGCTTTTAAACTTTTTTATTCAAATCAATCAGCACATACTTTAAAATAAATGATACGTCTTGGTAATATACCTACTAATTATTATCAACATAAAGGTGTAAGTACGTTACTTTACGTTTACGGTACGTTAAGTTTTATGTAGTTATATCTACTTACACCTTACTGATGTGATGTATGCTATGTGACTAACCTTTCTCTTTGAAAAAGTTCATGAGGTGACGTATTACCGTAGTTGACATGATTGCATCCATAAATGAATTTTCTTCAATCCTTTCCTATGAAAATTAAAGTTAATTAAAAACGAGACTTAAGTAAAGACTACTATGAAAATGTTAAAAGCTTGTAAGGGCAGATTCAAATTCAAATAATTAGAAACACAAAAGAATGAAAATGTTTTTGTATATTAATACAGGAAATAACTTACTTGTGGTGTTACATATTCATTTACGAGTGTGTCTCTTTCGTAATTATCTAATAACGCCACAAAAGTTTGTATTGTTGGAATATTCCATGCTTCTTGAGACACTGTTAGCAATCTAAAACACATCAAATCAACAAATAAACACTTGTAAAACATCATTCAGGACATTCATTGCCAAAAAATACCAACATTTTTAAAATAGCAAAGTATCAAATAGAACAGTTCTATTTGACACCACACCATTACCCTCAATAGCTCTAAAGTGCATTTTAGAAATGTTAAAGGGGGAAGAAATGAAAGTTTTTTTTAGAAAGTAAAGCAAATTATTTCATGTTAGGGAAAAAATTCACATACTTCCACACTAAACTAATCCATCCTTCCATACTAATATTTTAAATGTGAAAACGTCTGTCTGTTACGTCTTTACGCTTAAACCGCTGAACCGATTTAGATAAAATAAGGTACCTATATAGATAGTTTGAGTCGCATAAAAGGGCATAGGATAGATTTTAACTAAGATATAATCGTTTCAGGGGATAAATAGGGGTGAGAGGTTGTATGGGAAACAAATTTATCCACGCAGACTAAGTTGCGGGCACCCACTTGTGTAATATGAAACCGGCATTCGTTGGTGTGTGACACAGTCGCAATCTCGCAAAATCAATTCTGCTCTAAGTATAAGAAAAATCTAGTTACCAACTTTCAAGTACTTACGGCAACGGAGCTTTGTCTTCTAATGATTGTGATGTTGTCTTTCCTTGATAATTAATTGTGATGTATCGAGCAGCGTTATTAGTATCCTTTCTTAACAATTCTTCACTAAGAGTTTGTAATTCAGTTTCAGTGACACTATTTCTGTTGTTGACGGCGTTATTTCCGTGATTATTATTAAGAACTGAACTTGGCGGAACAAGAGGTCGTCGAGTAGCGGGGTGCGTTGGGTTTGTAGGTCTCATTGGTGTGGAGGTCACCTTACTAAATGGTTTAACTGTTGTTTTGATAGACGTAGCTGTATTACGATTAGAATTAGATCCCGAGATAACTTCACTGTAACTTAGGGGCTTATGTGTTTGAGTTTGAACTGTGGGAGTTGGCGGTTGACTAATTGAACTACCTTGATTATTCATAGCACCTTGCAGAATAGAACTATAGCTCGGGGTTTTTTGAGGGTTATTAGGTTGACTCTTACCATCGTAAAAATTTACAAGATGTTTTACTTTTCCTTGTTCTGTATTTGGATTATTAGATGGTATATTTGGATTTACGTAGTCTCGTTTCCCAGCTGGCTGTGTCATTTGAGTAGGCTTTGGATTGGAATAAGAATTAAGTTTGCCTTGGGAGGAGGCTGCAGGCTGAAGAGTAGGAAGACCAGTTGCCACATTATTCCGATTTCCAGAAGATTGTGGATTATGAGATGGTTGTGCAGGTTGTGTAGTTTTTGGTGTTTGAATTGATGGATAATTAGGCGCTACATAATCTCGTTTCGCTGACGTTTGAGTAGTTCTGGTATTTTGTGATGCTTTAGGAATATGCAAAGAAGGTGTTGGTCCTAACGGAGGGAAATCTGACTTAAGCGTATCCGAATTCGGTGGTGCTCTATTATTTCCAAAATTAGATGGAGCTACATTTTCTTTTTTGGGAGTATTCGGGTTTATTCCAGCTTCATGGAGTAAAAAATCGGTGTTTTGAGTATATCGTTGTTTATTGTACTCTAAACCTGTAAAATATTAAAATATTTTTATTAACTAACTTTATAACAAAAATATTATATATATAGTACGCGACTGACGAAGAACATATTTATAGTAATATATAACCAGTCGCTTAGGAAAGTAAAAAAATAATAACGTAGGTACTAATCAATGTCTTGGATTTTCTTAAGATGTACCTACGTATGTGCAATGATAGACACATAGGACCTAAATTAAAGTGAGAATGAACCAGTTGATGACTAATTTTGTAAGTAGGTGCCTATAAAACTTATGCCTACTACTTATTTACATAAAAAATAAGATGTTGATGACAGTCTTAATTGGAACTAATCGAACGACTGTAATTTTTCATTAAATTAAAATAGATAGGTTTATAAACTGCGTAATTAGTCTGTGCAAAGTAAAATAAATCACAAACATTAGTACTGCTAGTGACATTAACTTCAAAAATAGGTGTTCTGTGAATATTCGTTACTGATCCACTTTCACTAAGTTGAATAAACTAGTTATGAGATGAGGAAGTTTTCATTGTTATTGTGAAGTAAATTTCAGCCCAACGTAACTGGATGATATCATCTTCTCAATATATATTTGCAATGTGTAGCTTTTGTTTTTGCTTAAAATGTACATATTATAAACGGCTTACCTATACTCTGACTAAATAAATACACGGTTACAATAATGCACCTTAATTTATATTTCATCTTTATCAATTACGCACTGAGTAATAAAACTACACAAAAATTATTTAATGTTTCGTTACTAACTAGAATTAAGAACAGATAAAACGTCTTGACCTAAGTTTGAGGTCACTCGATACAAACAATCCTTGTCATGGCCAAATATTCACTGCCGAGTGCTCAAAAGACTGAATAGTATAACTTATAAGTAGATATGCGTAGTAACCCTTAGTAGTCTGTGTAATCGATTGAACGTAGAGGTTCTACGACTGCAACTCGAGTAGAAACAAATGCAAAAAGGTATCTGCTTGTTTAATCAACATATACATAATTAATATTATGAAATGAGCTTAGATTAAAACAAAAAGGGAAAATACGGTACGCTCATACTAGCATCAAATAAAATCTGATCCGACTCAACTACATAAGCAACTCTCACACACGCACACTTCTGAATATAAACATTCAATCAAGCACGCGAGACAGAACTGTACGCTTCAACGCAGCGCGAGCGAAACAGCGAGCGAATCCGCTTCCGAGTCCGTACGGCTGAGCTGTATTGTCGTCCTTTTCTTGATAACAAAATGGCGATTACGTAAATAACATTCACGGCAAAGCGTGATTTTTGAGAAAAAATAATGTTTTAACAATTATACAAATAAATAAATAATGTTTCCGAGGCATTTGTTATTTGATTTTGAACTTTTTCAGTTCTTTATAAAAGCATCGTAGGCATTATTTCATCTTTTTACACAGAATATACGCAATATTGTTATATTGAGTGCATATGCAGCGTGTTTGAATATCCAATTGTGACTAAAGCGAAATAATATGGTCATGCACCACAATTTAAGCGGATCACTTATGGATTTACGGATGGACGGATTAAAAAAATAAGATAATGAGATAAAATAATCTTTAAGACAATGTAAATATGGCGGCGACATCTATATGCCCCACATATATACAACGGATGGAGGAAATCATTACTCACCATCCTCAAGAGATGGCGTTACCTGCACTGCGGTCTTAATAGTATGGAAGCCTACATCGCGAAAATGTAATTCGGAGGCTAACTCTTCATACGATACCCGACCAACATCAGTCCAACGGGCCGCGGCTCCCGAGCTACCATCACCCAGCTCGGAGGAAGATCTTCCCCTTTGGCCTTCCTACATAAATAGTGTTTGTTTCGTGAATTCAATGTGCTAAATAACAGTTTTAAAAAAATTAATAGCTAATGGAAATAAATAAAAGCAACATATTTATTTATATATTATTAACATAATAGCACCAGCGTTTGACAGAAATGGTTGAGCGAAGCGATGGCTGGTTCATGTGTCATGCTCGTGAATGGGTGCTGCCAGCGGAGATGAGTCTGCTCTTGATTCGCTGGGTACTATTAATCGTTCTGCTAAAGTTTAATCGTTCATTATTATTATTTATTTGCCTAAACGGTAGGACGCGTCATTCCTAAACTTTGTTAAACCAGTTTTTTATATATATATTTTTTTTGTTTGTCATTTTTCAATTTGACGACTCTGTATATAATACAGGAAGAAAAAAACAGCCCTTGCTGAGTTTCTTGCCGGTTCTTCTCAGTACAAGGTCTCCCGCCGTAGATTTGCGAACCGATGGCGTAGCTTTTCGACATTCACAAGTGCTTGTAACAGCCTAGACTGAATAAACGCTCTTGAATTTTGAATTTATTTGAATTTGAAATTCTCACTTGTCGGCCGCAAGCACACCGGCGTGGCAGCCCTGCACACCAGCAGCTCGGACCCACCGTCACCCAGCTCGGAGGAAGATCTTCCCCTTTGGCCTTCCTACCTAAAATAGTGTTTGTTTCGTGAATTCAATGTGCTAAATAACAGTTTTAAAAAAATTAATAGCTAATGGAAATAAATAAAAGCAACATATTTATTTATATATTATCATTAATTTGTCATCAGTCCTCATCATCATCATCATCGACTTGAATTATAAAAGAATCAAACACATTGTAACATAGAACTAAACTAAGATTTTGCTACTAAAAAGGTTTTCCTAAAAAAGATTTCCAAGCAACCTACGAATAGTGGACAGGGATTTACTAATTATTGTAACTTCAAAAATGGTGTCGATTCTGGCAGGGTTCTCTGCAGCAGCAGTGGACGTCCATCGGCTAATTATGATGAATTAATGTTCTTCATTGTCATTAGAGACGCGTCTCTCAAAATGCGCGCATTTGGACATTTATCGAATTGTTAATTTAGGGCGTAGAATTAAAAGTTTACAAAAGTACCTATCTTATATTCAGAAAACATTTTCAAGTTTCAAATAATTAAATATATCACTATTTTTGGAACGAAAGTTCCTTACGGCAGGCTTGGAGGGGATAGGGATTTTGCTGCGCGACCGAACTGAAAAAAATGTGACAGTAAAACCGTAAGAAAAAATGCGTGGAATAAAAGCGTTAAATGAGACGTGCGCAGGCGCGACGAAGTTCCTTACGGCAGGAGAGAGAGCGACGAGGGTGCATCACTGAAATATTGTGATATTACACCAACACTGAATATGTGTGAAGTTATAGGGAGTGGTAGAGTGACGAGGGTGCATCACTGAAATATTGTGATATTACACCAACAGTGAATATGTGTGAAGTTATAGGGGATGGTAGAGCGACAAGTGTGCATCACTGAAATATTGTAATACTACACCAACAGTAAATATGTGTGAAGTTATAGGGGGTGGTAGAGCGACAAGTGTGCATCACTGAAATATTGTAATACTACACCAACAGTAAATATGTGTGAAGTTATAGGGGGTGGTAGAGCGACAAGGGTGCATCACTGAAATATTGTGATATTACACCAACACTGAATATGTGTGAAGTTATAGGGGGTGGTAGAGCGACGAGGGTGCATCACTGAAATATTGTGATACTACACCAACAGTGAATATGTGTGAAGTTATAGGGGGTGGTAGAGCGACAAGGGTGCATCACTGAAATATTGTGATATTACACCAACACTGAATATGTATGAAGTTATAGGGGGTGGTAGAGCGACGAGGGTGCATCACTGAAATATTGTTATATTACACCAACACTGAATATGTGTGAAGTTATAGGGGGTGGTAGAGCGACGAGGGTGCATCACTGAAATATTGTGATATTACACCAACACTGAATATGTGTGAAGTTATAGGGAGTGGTAGAGCGACGAGGGTGCATCACTGAAATATTGTGATACTACACCAACAGTGAATATGTGTGAAGTTATAGGGGGTGGTAGAGCGACAAGGGTGCATCACTGAAATATTGTGATATTACAGCAACACTGAATATGTGTGAAGTTATAGGGGGTGGTAGAGCGACGAGGGTGCATCACTGAAATATTGTTATATTACACCAACACTGAATATGTGTGAAGTTATAGGGGGTGGTAGAGCGACGAGGGTGCATCACTGAAATATTGTTATATTACACCAACACTGGATATTTGTGAAGTTATATCAAGCTGTGGACCAGTAACGCCTGTGAGACATGATTATGATTACAAGGTGAGTACTTATCAGGAGGTGGCAGAGCGACGGGGGTGCATCACTGGATTATTGTGACATTGTAGTTTATTCTAAACTGTGGGCCAGTCCTGCCTAACATCCTTTACGAACGCTAGCGGGGCATGATAATAAGGTGCGTATGTAGGGGGTGGCATAGCTACGAGGGTGCAGCACTGGAATATTGTGACGTTACACGAAATCTGGATATTTGTGACGTTATACCCAGCTGCGGACCAGGAACGCCTGTCATCTGCTGTAAACTTAAGCTAGACATGATAACAAGGTCAGTACTTAACAGGGGGTGACAGAGCGACGGGGGTGCAACCCCAAATTATTGTGGCATTATACCAACACTGGATTATTGTCGTATATTATACTAAACTGTGGTTCAGTCCAGGGGGGTGGCAGAGCGACGGGGCTGCATTACTGGATTATTGTGACATTGTAGTTTATTGGAACGAAGTTCCTTACGGCAGGCTTGGAGGGGATAGGGATTTTGCTGCGCGACCGAACTGAAAAAAATGTGATAGTAAAACCGCAAGAAAAAAACCGTGGAAAAAAGTGCGTGGAATAAAACCGTTAAATGAGCCGTGCGCAGGCGCGACAGTCGCATACACAAGCGAGTTTGCAATTTGTGTCGATTCTACATTAGCCGAAGGAACTTCGTTCCTACCTGGTGTACCCACGACACCACATCATTTTTTTAACATAATAGCACCAGCGTTTGACAGAATCTTTAAAAAGTTAATTTTTTTTTGAAGTTATACTTCTTTAGCCGCGTTATGAAAAAATTATGAGAGTGAAATTTTAAGATGCGCGCGCATCACTGTAACACAAAAGTAACATAATGAAGTTAGCCGCGGGCGCGTTATGAAAAAATCATGTGAGTGAAATTTCGAGATGCGCGCGCATCACTGTAACACAATAGTAACACCATGAAGTTGGCCGCGGGCGCGTTATGAATGTTAGTGTCGAGACATCTGTTCGAAAGGTACTTTGAACGATCCACGGAGCTCCATAAGATGATCGTGTTGTCAAAAACAATGTTGGCACGCTCGTCGCCTCTGATCACTGTTTTCATATTTATAATATTTATCCACATGTTTCTAGTTTCTATATAGACACAACGTGTTTTAGTTACTTACAAGTGCTAATTACATATGGACTAATAACTTAAATTCAGTAGTGATTTTAATTGAATATTTTGAATATTTATTTAATTTTTCAAATTAAAACTGAACTTAATTGACTGTGTTAACTATCCTTTTCCAGTCCTTTTATTATTTTATTGTAATTATTAATTATTTGCATGCAATTAAAAAATATTTTTAATGATGCTAAAGAAGTATAACATCACACGCGCGTACATAAGTTACACGCATCCATTTTTTTTATTGTTATTGTTAATAAAAAATGTTAGGTATATCATATTAATAATAATATAATTTTAGTATAGTGTATTTATTGGCCACATAACGCGGAATTTGTATTTTTTCGAAAAACATTAAATCAATAAGATCGCTGAGCGTGAGTGAACATTTATGTTTCGTTTAATTCAATCTTTATTAAAAGGAAGTTCTTCAATATTGGTTTAAATTTCAAAAATATGAATACCGAGATGTGACTTGCATTTGATTATAATAGACTTTTTGAAGTAAAACTTCTTTACGCACGCTTGACTTGGAGAGTAAGCTGGCGAATGCGTTACGAAAAGTGTGTACAGGCGAGGCGAATGGGAGTTGAGTAGGGAATAAATGCAAGGGAAAGCAGTGCACATTCTTCTTCTCTCTTTCTCTTATAGCTTGTAAATGAAATATGTATGTATGTACAAACACGCATTGATACACAAATCAGTAAGGACACATTAAGGAAACTATTCCTAGAGTTTAGTCGAGAAATAGTAAAAAATGTAATAGAAAGAAATAAGGACTAGTAAATAAAGCCAATACAGCACCTCAATTGTAAAATAAGTATTTATAATGAAAATGTAAAAATAAAAAATATAAAAAGAAGCAAATATGTAAAAAATCATAGGAAATAAATAAACAAGAAAAATGATTGTAAAATAGATATAAGAAATTAAAAACTCAGAGGAACGAAAATGTAAATATTCATAATAAGAAAAAATATGTAATAGAATTATGAGATAAGAGATAAAAAAAAACAAACAAAGAAAACAAAACAGAATATAAAGACCTGTATTAAAAGAAAAAAAAAATTAAATATGTATAAGTACATACATGTATATATTGTACACACATACATATATATAGGACTGATGAGGACTGAGGAGGAGATGAGGACTTTATAATATATATATATATACATACAGATGTGCCGCCGCGATAATGGAAATGACGGCGTGTGACATTCTGTCCCTCCCACATTATTGTTCTAATGTGCGATTGTTTAAGTGATAACAGTATTCAATTGAAGGTTATAATTGATCGTCACTGCATCACGTCTCTAATTGAAATGTCATAATGACATTGACAAATATGTTAGCATGTAAACAAAACAATCTGAAGTCGTTAGCCGAACGAACGGGAAAGTTTAAATGTTTATAAATTATTGTGAAAATATACAGATTCTAAAGAATTAATACCTTGATAAAAATGAGAAGCAAATTATCTTCATTTGAGTTGTTTCTTTATTTTAGTTTTTGGATCGCAGCAAATATATTGTGTTTATTTAAGTTGTTTGAGGCACAATCCAGTAAGTTTTGTTTTTATATTTATTATTGAGTTCTTTAAACATTTTCTATAAGAAAATTATTATTTTGCAGATTATTATCAAAACAACTACAGCGAATTATATTCTTTGGGTGAACTTAAACCAGGGTGGCGGTTTATATCAAGATTTCAAGATGTTTCAGATATTGAATGGATCAGTTGGAAATTCTTTATACAAACTGCTTGGCTTTTCTTATTGTTTCAATTTTTTGTATCAGAAGTAATAAGATATACTTATATGCCACTTATAAAATTTTGGTATATTGTATCAAGCATATCCTTTATTATTTTGTTTATGGGATATAGACAGTTGGTCATTATACTTGCTCAACCTATGTTATTTGCAACTATAATATATTTTGGTGGTGGTAAAATCTGTGTTTGGACAGCCAGTATTTTACTTCTCATTAGCTACAACTCCTTGAAGTATAAATATTTCTTTTGGTATTATTTAGACCGTGACGATTTACAAGATGAAGAGGTTTATCTAGTTCTTTTTACCATTGCATGGATAAAATTGCGATGTGTAAGTTTTCTCATGGATTACTTAAATCGCAAAGAACAAATTGGTACAGATGTAGTTAAAGCTAACTTTTCTTTCTCTCAATTAATATTGAATATGTTTAGTTATGTTTTATATACTCCATTATTGTACATTGGACCAATAATTCTTTATGAAGATTTTGAAAGGAGTTTCAGTTCCCACAATGGGAAATTCAGATTTAAATTTCAAAGATTTCTGTGGGATATGTTTCTTTATGCAACTTATACATTTCTTCTAGATTGTTCCTTTCATTATGTTTATTTTCTAGCTATGCAGAGTGATATTGAGGTAGGTTTTTTTTTGTGGAATTTATAGAAAATCTAGTCACAAACATTATAAAAATATAATAATGTTTCAGGCAATAAGGAAATTACCTACAATAGCTTTATGTGGGGGAGGATTGTGGATGGGTTTGGAATTTCACCTTAAATATTTAATTTCATATGGCACCACAACTGCATTTGCAAGACTGGATAATTTAGATCCTCCACCTACACCCAGATGCATAGTTCGTGTGCATGTTTATTCGCAGATGTGGAGATATTTTGATGTTGGACTTTATAAGTTTTTAGTAAAGTAGGTATAATTTCATTTCAATTCAAAACTTTTACATTGACAATAATTCGTTGTCTAATTAAGAGATTGCAGTATAATAATTTTCCAGTTTTTAAGTTTAGTATTATAATATTATTTAAAATGGGGATAAAAAAAGCAAAACTTGTTACATAATTATTTTTTATTTTGTTTTCAGATATATTTATATACCAGCTTTGGAGGTGATGACAACACATTTCAAACTGAAAAGTATCATAAACAAACTATGTGCATCTTTTCTCACTTTTGTATTTATATTCATGTGGCATGGAACTATATGGAATATTTTTGTTTGGTCAGTTCTGAATTATTTGGGTATTGCTTTAGAGCAGTTTGGTAAAGTTATTTACCATAGTAATTATTACCAGATATTAAAAACTGGCATTTTGAAAAGTGATGAGATGGAAACTCGATTTATAGCACTTTTATGCACACCTTTATTAGCACTTTCTGCAATATCAAACTTTTATCTCTTTGGGGGAAGCAGCGTAGGTAATATTTATTTTGAATGCTTTACCCACCCAACTTTTTTCAATTCTATGTTAATAAGTGTTTCATTGTATTGTTGTTGTCAAGTATCTTTAGCTTTACAAGATGTTCCATCAAGGACTGATAGAAAGAGATACTATAAGGAATGCCATAAAGCTAATTAACATACTTTATTGTAACATGAAACTGAATCGATTTTATTAAATGATGTAAAATTGGTTATCTGCCTCATTTGTCCATAATGGCAAGGATACTTCATATGGGTCTGGTTTTTAATATCGAGTCACGGAATCGACTGTCGCTGAATAGAAAACGTTTCATCAACGGGTTAATTACTGAATCGACAGTGCCCCAAATCGATGGTACGCTACATCGACAATACACTTAATCGATACACTACATCAACAGTACACTACATCGACAATACACCAAATCGCTAATACGCTGCATCGACAACGTGGTACGTTACATCGACTACCCGTATACCACTCATATGCGCAAAAATGTGATTTTTTTTTCATTACTCCATTCTTCTTACTGGTACCCATAAAAACATAAATCGTCATATTATTATGTAACGTAGTTTTTTAATTCATTAAAGAAAAACTTAAATACGTATTATTATAATGCTGATAAATTTATATATATATTATATATATAAATTTATCAGCATAGAAAGGGTAAACGGAACGGAATACTGTATGTTCGAGAGCTTTTTATTTCACGTAATTTATCTGATAATAAATGATTCTGATAGACATTGTGCAATAATTTAATAAATCTTATTCTCGTCATTACATGTCGTTAAATCATACGCCTGGTCCGTCATCATAGGAATTAGGATCTTAGAATCTATCTGAAATTTAAAATAATAATGGGGAGCAAGTATTAATTAAGTAAGATCTTTAGCCCTAGCGAGTTAAGCAGTCCATTACCATTAGTTTTTTTATTAGAGTAGGAGTAGGAATGTCAGTGTTTCGGCTCTATCTGGAAGTAGGCGATTGCTTTTCGTCGAAGCGAATGAAAATAAAGGTAAAAAAACACGTCATAACATGCTCAGAGGGCGTGCAATGACTATTAATTAAACTACGACTTTTCAACTATCTACTATGGTAATTCTAGATATTGTATAAATGGGAATTTATTATTATTTGGATGTTTTGAAAATTAATATGTAGCTCGAACCGCGCACTCGCTGCAGTGTACCATGGATATGGTTTACTGCAGTCTGTCCACTTGCTACCGAGGGTACTGCCGATACAATGTGTTTTCAAAATGGTATATTGTCGATGTAACGTACTATCGACTTGGTGTATTGTCGATGTAGCGTACTATCGATATGGTCTAATGTCGATTTGGTGTACCTACGATGTAGCGTACTAGCGATTTAGGGTACTGTCGATTCATTTACCCGTCGATGGAGCGTTTTCGTACAGCAGTCGATGCAGTGACTTATGATATTATCAACCAGATCCCGTTTTTGCCTATAAGAATACTGGTAATAGGTATAGATGGAACAGTTGAAATTAATTTGGATAAGTGCCTTTATTAATGCCAAATGTGACTCATTATTATAGTATTAGAAAAAATTGAGAATCTTATTGTGATTGTATGTACCTACCTAGATTTAAGGTTGCCTCAACTAAATTTGTCTGTATAGACAGGCCGGCCATTATTATACTTAAATTGTACACTTACTTAGAATTAATCAAATAAAACAAAAATCTATATAATAGAATTTTCAATCATATTTTTTATTAAGTAATTAATTGGTATGTGTTTGAACCCTTTAAAAGTAAATAAGAGTGTATATGCATTGCTTCAATTAAATCACCGGCATCTCCTGGTACTCCAGCCGATTTATGAATCTGTATTAACTCTTTTCTGGTGAATACGTCTTTGCCTAACTGATGAGCTCTTCTTGTCAGAATTTCCAGGAACTTTTTCAGCTGTAAAGATAAAATATTTTTCACAAAAAGAAAACAAATATACTAGTGGTACCCACTAGTAATCTTGTGGAATAAGTTGTTTCCCATAGAAACTTTTAGTACTTAAAAGGACTACTAAACTTTAAAGGATTACCATCCAAGATTGTATAAATTTGTTAATCACAGCACAAAGGTATCATCTTAAAAATTAATACGAGAATACTGAGTCTTTTATAAACAACGTACATGCAATTTACAAGCGAAATGCGCATTTACGGTAACATTTTCGAAGCAATTGCAGTATTGCATAATTGATACAGCTTGTCTAATTCATCATTTTTGTGATAGTGTAGACGATATTGGTCGTAAAATGCTTTGTTTTTTCCATAGTTATCTGCCCATTTTTACTTTACAGTTGGATATGCAACGTGCCTAGTCCATTCAAATAACTAGGGATGATGACGGGGTGTAGTAAACAAAATTCTATTAAGTCACATTTTTTTGTTTTGTCAATCAACCAAAAAATCACAAAGCTAAAGCGCGTTAAAGTATGGGAGTGGGGGCTTTTGACGTCACTTTTTAGTAAAAATTGTACGAAAACATGTTTTGATTATGTGAAAAAAATAAAAAAAATGCGTCTATAACTTTTTGGTAATCTACCTGAAAGAAGAATGAAGAAAATATAGTCATGATCTCTAATGTAATGTCATCGTAAAGAAAGTGACAGTACCAAATTTTAACCTTCAAAAGTTAACAAGCTATCCGCCGTAATTTTGCACAGCTAAACTTTATTTTAACGCGATAAAATATAGCTTAAGTTACTCAGGGCATATGTAAGATTTTTAATGGTGAAAGAAGGTACAGTAGTGTTAGCGTCAGTTGCACGGATACGCGACGCGACCATAGAGACTACTTCAAATGGAAGTGTCCCTCTAATAGAAAGAGAAAGAAGATACAGATAAAGGAATTGCGAAAACCGTAAATTTTTAGTTACATCGTATTATAAAAAATATTTTTTAATAATTATTAAAATATACCTACAGGTTTGTACGGAACCCTCGGTGCGCGAGTCCGACTCGCACTTGGCCGGTTTTTATTAAAATGTGCGCGCAGCGTCGCGTCGCGTTTCGGTGCAGCTGACGACGCTTACAGTTTATTTGTTACATACATTCAAAAGGAATTCAAATCTTTCCTCTTTATAATACTTATTCGTATACATTAATGTCTCTGAGTACACGCTAATGGTTGATACTCACTTTGCCCCTCGAGCTCACGCCCGATCCGTTAATCGACCTCGATAACTGAATGTTGCCATATTCGTCGCTGAATGTATCCATCAAGCTGTGTTTCACAAGGCTTATTACGTCGTTCGCATCATTTGCGTTTGCCTCTTCTCGCAAATCCACTCTAGCACGAGCCTAAGAAGAAAGTGAAATATCATTGTTTTAAGAATCGTTGTATTTAACTTTACTCGTGCTTTTCTTTTATTCCTCAACATTCCAAACTTAAACTTTGTTAAATCAGTTTTTTATAATTTTTATTTTATTGGCATATTTTTTTATATCATTTACATTTGCAATGGGACACAATACAGGGAGAAAAAACAGCCCTTGCTGAGTTTCTTGCCGGTTCTTCTCAGTAAAGGTCTCCCGCCGTAGATTTGCGAACCGATGGCGTAGCTTTTCGACATTCACAAGTGCTTGTAACAGCCTAGACTGAATAAACGATATTGAATTTTGTTCTTATAAAAAAAAAACATCACATGTTTTAATACATTTGAGGATCTCTGTGGTGGAAGGGTATGTATGTACACTGATTTTTAAGGTGTCGCCTACTCTGACGACCTGGATTCGAATCCCGATGGGGCATAACTTTGTATGCAAAATTTTGCATAAGTAGGAACCTAAATCATGGCCGTTTATTATTATTTCTACAAAAAATATACCTATTTATGTATCATAGAGATTATAGATATATTTCTATCAGATACCCTAGTATCCCATAACATAAGCTTTACAGTGCTTACTTTAGGGAAGGCTAATTGGTGTGACTATTTGAAATGTTTATTTATATGTGGATTAGTCTTCGGCAAAACATTAAAATATTGATTAGCATGGCATCTAACCTCAATCTAATGCTTATCATAATTTTACTAAAGACATACTTGTGTAAGTCTAATGCAAGCCTCCAATTGTCTAGTAGTAATAGGAGTGCCATCCTGAGAGTTGCTTTGGTGATTATGCCTTAGTTCCAAGTAGAAGTTCTGCAATACATTTGCAGCTTCCGTACTTAGTTTTGGGTGTACGTATCTTCTGGCGTATGCAATGTATTTTCTGAGTAGAACTAATGGCAGCGTGTCAATCGATTCGTTAGGCTTTAGCCGTAATCTTTCGCTGCAAAGAAATAATTGGTTTATTAGCAATAGGTATGCGAAATTATTAAAAACGATTTTATCGGATTCGGAATTTTGTTCTTTGTTGGTGATTGTACCTACCTTTTCATAACAACATATTTTTTCCCTTTTTTGGTATATATATATATATATATGTGTGTGTGTAAAAATAAGATAACTATATAAGTCGACTTTATGAGTTGAATTTAAACCCTTTCTATGCTTTAGTTCTTGTTCTGACTAGAGATCCAAAGGGGAAGGCGTAAAAGCTCTTATTGCTTCTTGTTACACAGCCGTAAATTTACTCAAAACTGTTGAAAATTTTGCTGACTTTGAATTTTACTTTTACTTGATATAAGTTTCACAATCTGTTGAGAAAATGTGACAGTTTGTCGTAACATAATGTGTCTGCTGTCTGTACAAACTGAGCAGTTTGGGATTGATATACTAAATTATTTGTTTACGTAAACGGTACGGTAGTAACACAGGCTTTTAATTTTTTCCCTTCTAACAACTCCATACTGGAGTAGTAAGAAAGGTAATAAAAATTAAAGGTATTATTACTGGTAGTTACATTGGTAGTAATAAGGGTAACAAAAACCATAAATACTTACCTCAAAGAAGATTCACTGTCATTCTGACTAGTAATTATGCTAGAATTGGCATCCGTGATTTTAATTCTTTTCGCTTTTTGTCCACTGTGTAAAGCCAGCACATGTTCTGAGAGCATTGCATCTATTTTCTAAAAAAAAACTGAGAGCATCACTTTTTAGTCTTATTTTTAAAATTAAGTAAAAAGTTAGCATAAGCCATGTGTCTATACCTCGTCAGGTTGATCCAAGAGTATGAATACCAAATCAAATCTAGATAGTAAAGCAGAGTTGATTTTTAAATTTTCCGCTACTGTTTTTGCTCTGAAATAAAAGAAAAACTTTTAGCGCGCAAATCATGTGAAGTGTGGCTGGTAGTGAATGTGGAAGTTACTACCAAATTCAGTTTCATAAAGCTTTTCTAAAGTTGCTGGTTCATATAGGTTCAAGTGAGAAAAATATGAAGTAAACTGCATTTAAAATTTAAAGCCAGAGTGCAAGTACCACAAAAAATTTTGCTCCATTTATTTTTTAAATCTTGCCATTTTTATACTTTTTCGTATTTCGGTAAATTTTGTTGTGTTGAAAGCCTTGATCGGCGCGTAAGTAAATTTTCTTATAGTATATATTGCATTTGAAGGGTGATGTTTCGAGTCTTATAAAATAATTATTAATGAACCAATTATAAAAATATATACATATTTCAGTCGTTCAATGATGGTAGATTAGTTTTATGAAAGTTTTTGATAGAAATTCTATTTAATTCAATATCAAAATACGAGGTAAACCTGCATTGTTTTTTGGGAAAACTCACGGAAGTTAGATATTTTTTTTGATAATTAATGAGATGCAAAATCAAACTTCTAATACATTATGTTACAACAAAAACATATTTATGATGTCGTAGTAATTAATTTGATCTAATTTATTGAACATTATTTAGAGAATTAGGCATTTGTGCATATTATCGTTTTTTCCGTAAACTAGCTGCGGTAGAACGATCAGTATAAAAAAAGAAAAAATAGTATTTGTAAATATTCAACATTAACTTACAATAGGAAGAATAAATCTACTGTTTACTTCTATTGGAAATAGTAAATTTTTTTTAAGGGTAAACGAGGCGCTCAAATATTACGATTTTTTGCAAAAAATGTGAAAGGGCTCTTAAGTGAGGCCAAAGGAAGTTCCATTTACGAAAAGTTTGGTTAATTCTAAAGTAAGTATTAATTAATGAGATTTGCCAGTTCTAAAATTATAATATGTATTTTCTTTTTTTGCTAAAAGGATAATTTAAAGGAAAATTGGTTTTCCTGTTTATTGCAACACTGCAGTCTCAGTACAATTTTATTTAGTCCTCAAAATATAAGTATGTAAGTATTTTGTGGTAATGAACACGACCACAAAATACTGATTAGGGAGAAAAATCATTTTTGACCAGAAAACAAAATTTAATATGGTCATCAAATAGGGCTTGATAGTGTGTAAGTGAAACCAATCTTTTTACGCAGAATCAGACGAAGTCACATACCTCTACATATTACGTACGCTAGTGAATAAACAAATCACCTATTATTATAGTCGTTCGGGCGGAGATATTGCATACGTTTTCCATACAAATTTTCACCCCCCCTTTTACTCCCTTAAATTATTATTACGGGGATAAAAACTATCCTATGTCCTTTCCCGGGACTCAAAGTATATCTATACATATATTTTATCTAAATCGCTTCAGCAGTTTAAGTGTGAAGGAAGAGGTAACAGATAGATGGAGACACTTTCGCATTTATAATATTAAGCATGGTGAGTATGGATTAGAAGCAGACGAAGTCAGACACGCGCGAATCAGTTAGTAAATAAACAAATTACCTATTATAACTTCCTCCAGCTGGATTGGCGGCGGCTAAGACAATCGGTTCAGCGGTTTAAGTGTGAAGGAAGAGGTAACAGATAGATGGAGACACTTTCGCATTTATAATATTAAGTATGGTGAGTATGGTGTAGGGGTTCCTTAGTTAGGCGATGGTGGTAGGTTCCTACCACGGATATAATTAGAAGGAGTAGCAAAATGAAAAGAGGTTTCGTATTAAATATCGGCGCGCGAGCAGACGAAGTATAGATGCGTGCGTATGGGCGGCGTGCGCTCCGCGTCGTGGTCAGTTTATCACTGGCGATCTGCAACGTCTATCGATAGCTTGCATTCAATAGATCGCACAAAAAATTGGAAACAAAAGGATGCGCTAAGACTGCTCGTACAGCGCGGAAGCTATACTTGCGCGTCGTTGATACTACGCGCTTCGTATAGTATATAGTTAAGTTATGTAAATATTTAGTTTATAAGATATTGTAAATAATATATAATTATGTAATATGTTAGCATAAGTATTTAGATGTAAGTAATTTATAAGTCTGTATTAGTTGTGTAAGTTATAATGTAATAAATAATTTTATATGTGGTTTTGTATAAATAAATATAAATACTATACATGCCGCCACATCACTCCCCCCCAGAGACCGTCACTACGGGCGATAAAAATCTGGTAAACGTACTTTTCGACCAGAACGAGTAGTTTTTTGTTCAGGTGTGTTTACTATTGTAGGAGGTGATGGGTGTGAATTATTTTGTTGTTCGTCTAACAGTACATAGGCTGGTTTTAAGCGGTCTATAGATACTGTGACTATTTTTCCCTTTATATCCAGCTTGAATGATTTGGGACCTCTGTCTAAAACTTTGTATGGTCCAGTGTAAGCTGGTTGTAAAGTTCGGCGGACTGTGTCGTCTCGTATGAAAACGTGACTAGTGGTGGCCAAGTCTTTATAAATGAAAATTTTGCCTGTATGATGTCGTGAAGCTGGACAGGGCTGTAAATTTTGCGTGAATTGCCGCAAACGGGCAGTGAAATCAGTGATATCCGTAGTGCCATCTAGATTGGAGTGAAAGAATTCTCCGGGAAGTCTCAAAGGTTCACCATAAACCAGTTCAGCTGATGAACACTGAAGGTCTTCCTTAAAAGTGCTACGAATACCTAACAGTACTAATGGCAGAGATTCTGTCCAGCTGCTATTGGCGTGACACGTTATAGCAGCTTTCAGCTGTCTATGGAATCGTTCTATGAGACCATTACACGCTGGATGGTAAGCGGTGGTTCTGCGGTGTTCGAAACCAATCATTTGAGACAGAAATTTGAATAGATCAGATTCGAATTGTCTGCCTCTATCCGTAACTATGATAGTTGGGCAGCCAAAACGTGAGATCCAGTCTCTTATTAGGGCTTTAGCGACTGTTTCTGCCGAAATGTCCGGTATGGGTATTGCTTCAGGCCATCGTGAGAAACGATCGATTGCTGTGAGGCAATACCTGTTACCGTTAGAAATGGGAAGTGGCCCTATGAGGTCTATGTGTACGTGCTTAAATCTAGCTCGTGGTAATGGAAATGATCCTAACGGTGCAGAAACGTGGCGGTTAATTTTAGAGCGTTGGCAAAACAAACAAGCTCGTGCCCATTCTCTGCAATCCTTTCTGAGACCATTCCATACAAAACGCTGTGCTACAAGTTTTGCAGTAGTTTTAACGCCAGGATGACTCAGTGAGTGAAGACAGTCGAAGATTTGACGTCGTAAGATTTTCGGTACGAATGGCCGGGGAGTTTGTTTGCTGTCATCGCAATACAGCTCGAACTTACTTCCGGGTATTTTGATTTTCGTAAGCCGAAGAGAATTAGCATCATTTAAGATGTTTTTTAAATCCATATCGGAACTTTGAGCTTTCGCGAGAGTATCGAAATCGACACTAGCTTCCAATTCTTCAATACGCGATAAAGTGTCCGCGACAACGTTGTCCTTGCCGGATATATGTTGTATATCGGTGGAGAATTGGGAGATAAAATCGAGATATCGATATTGCCGAGGAGAACAACTTGACTTTCTAGAATGAAAGGCAAAGCTGAGAGGCTTATGATCGGTGAAGATTGTGAAATCTCGAGCTTCTAACATATGCCGGAAATATTTTATGGCCTGATAAATGGCAAGAAGTTCGCGGTCATACGGGGAATATTTTTGTTGGGAAGGGCTCAATTTGCAAGAATAGAATGCAAGTGGCTGCCAAGCGCCTTCTTTGCGTTGTTGAAGAACAGCGCCCACAGCAAGATCGGAAGCATCAGTGGTAAGAGCTAGTCGAGAATGGCAATCGGGATAAGCTAAAAGTGCTGCATTACAGAGGCTGGTTTTTGTATCCTCGAAGGCTTTTAGTGAATCTCCTTTGAGCTCGACAGGGTGGTTACCTTTTACTGAGCCGGTTAACAAAGCGTTCAAAGGTGCCTGAACTTCAGCTGCGCGAGGGATAAACCTGCGATAGAAATTGAGCATTCCAAGGAACCTCCTAAGCTGTTTGACAGTTGTTGGCCTAGGAAATTCTCTGATGGCCTGGACCTTCTCGTCAAGTGGCTTAATACCGTCGCTCGAAATACGGTATCCTAAAAAAGTTACTTCCGATGCCCCAAAAACACATTTAGAAGTGTTAATTAAAATGCCATATTCGGACATTTTTTTGAAAAGATGACGTAAATGCGCCTCATGGCTAGATGGATCAGGGGAGAAGATCAAAAAGTCATCCAAATATGGATAGACGAAATCCATGTCCCGCGTCAGCTCATCTACGAATCTCTGAAAGGTTTGACCTGCATTACGCAAACCGAAGGTCATGTATGGAAATTCGTAGAGGCCGAAGGGTGTGGTGATCGCGGTTTTGGGAATATCCTCGTTGCAGACAGGGATCTGGTTGTACGCTCTAACCAGGTCTACGGTGGAGAAGATTTTACATCCTGAAAGACTGTGAGTAAAATCGTGGATATGACGCACCGGATACCTATCAGGAATGGTCCGTGCATTTAACATACGATAGTCCCCACAGGGACGCCAGCCATCCTTTTTGGGAGCCAGGTGTAGAGGAGAAGACCAAGGGCTGTCTGATGGTCGAGCAGTACCATCCTGGATCATGATGTCAAACTCCTGTTTGGCGATTTTGTACTTATCTGGCGCCAAGCGACGAGGTGTACTGGCAACAGGCGGTCCTGGGGTCGTGCGAATGTAGTGTACGGTCTTATGTGGTGTGGTGCGTGGAGTACCTGCTGGTCTGGTTAGTTCGGGAAATTCCGCGAGTATCATATGGTATCGCGAGTTACCAGTCTGGACTTTAACCGACGAAACGCTACTGTACTTGTCTGCTGACGCACCTGAGACCTTTAATGATGTTAAATTATCCAACAATCTCTTATTTCTAACATCTACAACTAAATTATAGTATGACAGAAAGTCAACGCCGATGATGGGCTTATTAACATCAGCTATAATAAAACGCCATACAAAGTCTCGTCGTAAACCTAAATCTAATTTAAAATTAGCATGTCCGTATGTATGGATAACAGTACCGTTAGCCGCGCACAACTCGTATTTAGTCTTTGGCCGTCGTTCTCTAAGTGCCACACGAGGGAATACACACAAGTCACTACCGGTGTCCACTAAAAACTGTGTCCTGGTATGCCGATCAGTGACGAACAGGCGACCGTGGCTGTTTGGGCAATCGTTTGTCGCCATTACCGACCGCCCTGCTGGTTTTCCGCCTTGTAGTCACACGGCTTCTGGCACTTGCTAGCCTTGCTGCCGTGCTTCGCGTGATACCAGCAGATAGGGTATTTGCGGTAGCTGGACTGTGATCTGCTGCGACTGCGATTGTGCTGCCTCCTATTCTCCCTGAATGTGGGTCTTGATCTACCGACCTTCATAGTAAGTGCGTGGACCTGCTGCGTTAGCTTCTCAATCTGCTTAGCCATCATGTCCATCGTGTTGTTTGGATGATGTCGATTTGATGTTGAAGCAAAAGATGAAGAAGAAGCAGAAGCTACGTGCGGATATGGTAGTGCAATGTCATGGATACGGTCTGCGAGATCAGCTAAGTTGTCGAGCGGTAGCTGGAGTTGCGAAGCGATTATGGTCTGCATGCTACTAGGCAACCTGCTAGTCCAGATGGTGCGAATGAAGTCCTCTGGTATACCAGAACCTGCGAGATGTTGAAGGTGCCGTAGAAATTGCGACGGTTTTCTATCGCCCAGCTCTTCGTGGTCCAGCAGCTGCTTAACCTTGCGCTCTTTGGATGCCGACAACCGCTTAATAAGCTCTGTCTTTAATTTGACATATTTGTCGTTTTCTGGTGGAGATTCTATCACATCGGCCACTTCAACTGCGTATTGATGGTCTAGCATGCCGATGACGTGATAGAATTTTGTCGAATCTGTGGTAATATTAGCCAATGCAAACTGACCTTCTAGCATGGAAAACCATAACGACGGCTTGTCTGGATAAAATGGGATGTTCCTTATGCCAACTCGAAAAACATCGCTCGCATCGCTTCGGGTGTAGTCTTGTCCTAATGCGCTCGTAGATGCATTACCTCCATCCATTTTGATCATGTGAACTGCAGGGGTCACCAGTGTAGGGGTTCCTTAGTTAGGCGATGGTGGTAGGTTCCTACCACGGATATAATTAGAAGGAGTAGCAAAATGAAAAGAGGTTTCGTATTAAATATCGGCGCGCGAGCAGACGAAGTATAGATGCGTGCGTATGGGCGGCGTGCGCTCCGCGTCGTGGTCAGTTTATCACTGGCGATCTGCAACGTCTATCGATAGCTTGCATTCAATAGATCGCACAAAAAATTGGAAACAAAAGGATGCGCTAAGACTGCTCGTACAGCGCGGAAGCTATACTTGCGCGTCGTTGATACTACGCGCTTCGTATAGTATATAGTTAAGTTATGTAAATATTTAGTTTATAAGATATTGTAAATAATATATAATTATGTAATATGTTAGCATAAGTATTTAGATGTAAGTAATTTATAAGTCTGTATTAGTTGTGTAAGTTATAATGTAATAAATAATTTTATATGTGGTTTTGTATAAATAAATATAAATACTATACATGCCGCCACAATGGATTAGAAGTAGACAAGTCAGACACGCGCGAGTCAGTTAGTACATAAACAAATTACCTATTATAACTTCCTCCAGCTGGATTGGCGGCGGCTAAGACAATCTGTTCAGCGGTTTAAATATTAAGGAAGAGGTAACAGATAGATGGAGACACTTTCGCGTTTATAATATTAAGTATGGTGAGTATGGATTAGAAGCAGACGAAATCAGACACGCGCGAGTCAGTTAGTAAATAAATAAATTACCCATTATAACTTTCTCCAGCTGGATTGGCGGCGGCTAAGATAATCGGTTCAGCGGTTTAAGTGTGAAGGAAGAGGTAACAGATAGATGCGAGACACTTTCGCATTTATAATATTAAGTATGGTGAGTATGGATTAGAAGTAGACAAGTCAGACACGCGCGAGTCAGTTAGTACATAAACAAATTACCTATTATAACTTCCTCCAGCTGGATTGGCGGCGGCTAGGACAGTCGCTCGGGCAGAGAGACTGCATACAACGCCGGCCTTAGCCACGCTTACACGGCGTTGTTCCATCGCTTCTAGTAAGCTACTGTGGTGCGCAGTCATCTTTATTTAAATAAAACTAGTTTTAACGAGTTAATGCACGAACTTTATTTATTTATTGACGTTTCGCAGCCTTTTCGGGTCTGCATAGTCAGAATAATGATTTTTTATTTACTCTGTCGAGCTACCTTCGAAAGACTTTTATTAATGAGTGATGTGCGTGAAAACCTAAGAAACAAAATACCTATATTTAATATTGATTCTTACAAAAATAAAAATCCGAAATCATTAAAACAAACAACAGTATGAATAAAAAAAAAATATATCAGTTTGTGTTAACATCTTTTTCTTTTTATATTATTTATATTTCTTACTAGCTGTGCCCCGCGGTGTTACCGCGGTTTATTACGGAAATTTCATTTTCATCGATTTTCCCATGGGAATAAGATATTTTTCCGCAGTAAAACGTAGCCTGTGTTAATCCAGGGTGTCAGCTAACTCCATACCAAATATTATTAAAAGCGCTCCAACCGTTTAGACGTGAAGAAGTAACAAACATAAACTTTTGCCTTTATAATATACGTGTGATAAATCAACAAGCGGATAGTTAATCGACTAACTCTTATTGTGGTAAGAATAAAGTTGATTATAGTCTGCAACCTTGTCCAGTTTGTCTACGCAGCAGACTCCCTTGTCGGCGAGCACCAGAGCCCCCACTTCGAGTTGTTCAATACAAATCAACAATAGTTGAACGAAGAACTCTTATTGTGGTAAGGATAAGGTTGATTATTATCTGTCATATTGTCTAGTTCGTGGATGCAGTAGACTCCCTTACACCAGAGTTGCGACCCAATGCTACCATTAAAGCTCCGGCCATAGCGAAAACTTGAACAACTTACTCTTATTGTAATAAGATTAAAGTTGATTATCGTCTGTCGCCTTGTCTAGTTCGTCTACGCAGGAAACTCCCTTTTCGGCGAACACTAGAGCCCCCGCTTCGAGGGCGAAGTCCCCGCTAGATTCCCGACCTAACGTTACCGTCATACCTCCGGCCGAAGCGAAAACTTGAACAACTAACTCTTATTGTGGTAAGGATTAAGTTTATAATCGTCTGTCACCTTGTCCAATTCGTCGACGCAGCAAACTCCCTTGTCGGCGAGCACCAGAGCTCCCGCTTCGAGGGCGAAGTCCCCGCCAGATTCACGACCCAACGCTACCGTTAATCCTCCGGCCGAAGCGGATGCTCCGCAGACATAAACACCTATATCATATCACATCATTATCAGCCTTTTAAATTCCCCATTGCTGGGGCACAGCCTTTCTCTATGGAAGGTGTAAGAGCCTGCGCTGCGTTAAGCGGGTCACGGAGCGGGCGTTCGCTCCAAGTGCAGTTTTTATGTCATTTGACGACCTCTTTAGCCGAGTGGTTTATAAACCTGGTTTCATGGTGACGCCGACTCGAGAGGTCCCGGGTTCGAATCACGGTAGGGGCAGATGTTTATGTGATGAATACGAGCTATCTATATAAATATACTTATATAATATAACACAGATATACATATTATGTACAATATATGTATTCTATCCGTTACCCTAGTTTCCCATAACACAAACCTTACCGTGCTTACTTTGGGGCTAAGCTAATTGGTGTGAGTGTTGGAAATATTTATTTATTTATTACATAGAGACTCGCTGCGCGGAAGACCTGTCTCACGCAGCGCTGTTCTATGAAATAACATGAAAAAACACGTGGAGCGGACGCCCGCTCCGTGTTCCCGCTTAACGCAGTGCAGGCTCTAAGTTATGGTAGACCTGAGACCCAAGTACGAATCTTAACAGCTTCGAAATCTTATCGTCAAATTTTGTGTAGGCGCTACTTAGTTTTAATAAAAACTTTGACGTTGCGAAACGATTCCGGAACTTCAAAATTCATGCATGGGGCCTCTGGCTCGCAGAGGTTCAAGATAATACTTCGGCATTCATTCGATTCATTTGTATTATATTTATAAGAGAAAAAGTGACATTGAATACGAAAGCAGAACATCAAGGAAGGGAAAACTAAGAAAAAGTCGTTAAGAGATAGATCAGGAAAACAAGACCCTGACCCACCACGCGGGCCCAGTGCAGATTGGTGAACTACCAACAACTGCAGATGCAGCTAGAACCAACGACATAACATGACCAACCATTACAAAAGTTACTGGGCTACATCGCCTACATCATAACAATTTAAAAAAGACAATACATGACTGAATTATGCAATTAATTTTATCATTTTCTTTGATCAGAACTGGCAGCGAGTAGTGAAATGAAAAAGCTAGTTAGCATTATTGACGTGTTTCAACAAGTTAAGTTTACAGTATCAAAAATATTTATTTAGTATTAGATGCCCGCGACTTCGTCTGCATGGAAAAACTGGTATCTCATACAAACTTTCACCCCCCTATTAAAGGGTGATTTCTAGGATAAAAACTATCATATGTCCTTTCGCGAGACTCAAACAATCACTATACCAAATTTCATGTATATTAGTTGAGTAGTTTAAATGTGAAAAGGTAACAGACAGATACAGTTTCACATTTATAATTTTAGTACGGATTAATTATTATTTATTTATAAATGATATTCTTACCCCTTGGAGCCGCATGGGCCGCAGCTTGAAGTAACTGTGATTTCCCCAAACCTGGATCTCCAACTATAAGCACATGAGGATTAGATCTCGGGCCATTTTCTAATTCCGTTCCACCAACGAGCCCTAGTATGAGACCGGCTTTCACTGCTTCATGTCCAAATATAGTGGGGCAAAGGGAATGAACTAGCAGTCTAAAGACGTTTTCTGAAGCATGGATTTCCTAAACAAAAAGTAGAAAATATTTCAAGTTCTGTCCACGCCATCTTTATGGGGTTACATACTAAAAGAAACATTCTTAAACGAGTTTAAAATGCGTCTTTTTATAACTTTTAAGTTAGACGAGTTTAGACTCGTCATAAATAAATCAATATCATAATTCTGACGTCGTAGCTTGAGATGGTCGCAGGTCGAAGATTGCAGCCTGAGAAGGACGTCAAAAAAGTTCTAAAAAGACGCTTTTTGGACCTGTTTATGTCATAGAGGTATAATAATAAATAAATAAAATAAAAAATAAAATTCATTTATTTCGAGCAACATAACTCATAATCATATTAATAATACATAATCAATTATTATAGAAATAGGCACATGTCACTAAAAAATACACCTAATCATTTATTTAATTTAATAAATTACATAATTTAAATTTAATAATTTCCATCAAATAAATAATAGAGTGGGGAAGGCGGCTTTAAGTGTCCGTCTAGTAGAAAGAGAAAGAAGATGAGATACCGCTAGCTATCTCTCTCTCTCTTGTGACGCATGGCATCCAATAGCATCACATCGAAACAGTAAGATGCTTACGGTTGCCAATGCGCATGCGCGATTAGAGAGAGAAAGCTAGCGGTCTCTCATCTTCTTTCTCTTTCTATTAGAGGGACACTTCCAATTGTAGTAGAGGGTACATCTCCCCTACTCTATTCTTATACCTCTTTGGTTTAAGCATGTTTCATTTAATGTGTGGTGTGTGTGTGTGAAAACTTAAGAATCAAATAAGCAATAGATACGTCAAGTTCTGGGTGAATCTTACCCTTATGGGGTTACATTTGGACGACTCAGAATTTGGGTACTACGCTTTAAAATAAATTGCATTATTAAGTATAATTATTTTTTTGATGATATTTTGCATAGTTGGAGACAAAATTCCTGTCGCTTTCGTTTCGACCGATCCTAGTTTGATCCGACAGCCTAGCTAAGTGGCTAACGTTTGTTAGCGTTTAATAATGTATTTAAGCATGATTTGAAAACTTTGTACCTACCTGTATAGCATAATAGTCTTTCAAAGTAAAAGATAGTGTTGGATTGCTCAAGTTTCTTTGACTGTGTATTGAAACAGCTTCTATATAAAGTTGCAATAATCTGGCAGCTCGTTTTCCGTCTTCACCACCTTTACTTTCTCCTCTCACCTACAAAAAAGATATTTTTTTAAATAAAACAAGTTCCAAAGGGTTAGGTGCACTGATTTTATTTATTTATTGACGTTTCGCAGCCTTTGCAGGAATGCGTCGTCAGAATAAAATCAATGAATGTAACCCGTTGGAACTTGTTTTATTTAATGAGTTATGTGCGTGAAAATCAAAGAAACAATTAGATATTTTTTTATTATATTGTTATTTTAAGCAATACTCTGCTAGATTTTTTACTACAACAAATTACATTCTTTCCAGGTATCAGATATGATTTGATCCTACACCTTTTGATAATTACTGATACCACGGTAATAATATATAGATATTATTACCGTGCTGATACATAATTGTTTATGTTAGATGTAAAAAAAATTTTTTTTAGTTAAAACTGCAGTTTGATCAAAAATAACATATACATAAAAAATTAAATAATTCATACCTGTACAATACCAGTGACGGAAAGAACATCGCCGGGGCAAGCAGTGCCAACTAAATCACCTTGTAGCTCTATTTCCACACTCCTAGGAATAGTGCCTGATATGCCCTAAAAGAGAGGGTAAAGATGTTATAAAACTATTTTTATAGCACAGTGTGACCTAAACCCGCACTTTACGCACGCTTTTCCGTGACCTAAGTTGCCTATTTCTGCACGGTGTGTAAATGAATTGACCAACTTCACTCATGTAGAATTAGTACATTACGATACGCGTAACTTAACTTTACTATGCCAATCAAGGAATAAACGTTCATGGATACATTGAAATTCTATTTTGTTGTAATGATATTTGATTTTTTCCTTTTGAAATATACTTTCAAAATGGTAATCTGAACCGGAATTCTTTCTTTTCAGAGTTTGACTTGCAGTCTGTATTGCAATTCTTTGTGATTGCAATACATGAATTTTACTTTCAAAACACTAATCGCATCCCTCGGGCATCCCCCCGAACCCCCCCCCCCTATTGCCCGCGTCCGGGGCGGGTTTATGTCACACTTGCTATAAAATAGTATACGATACTTGTGACCTAAGTTGTCTATTACTGCACGGCGTTTAGCACCCTCGCTCCGCTCGGGCGCTAACTTCACGCCGTGCAGTGATGGGCAACTTAGGTCACGTGTATCGTAATGTACTAATTTATTTAAACTTTATTGCCACAATTAAAAAATGGACAAAAGGCGGACTTAACGCTAAAAGCATTCTCTGCCAGTCAACCTTTAGGCATAAAGAAATCCACGAATGCGGCAATAATAATAAAAAAAAAAGTTATTTACTATAAACATACACCAATAAAAGTAACTACATTAAAAAAAAACTATGGTATCTGTTTACCATTAGGAAGGCCATTATGTTTGTATGCCACCTCTATTACTATTACACTTGGTCGTTAGCCCGAATACGAATGCCAATCGAATTCGGGTAAACGCGTAAATTGTCAGCGTCGAGTGCGCTAGTATTCGGGTAGTTTTCGGTTTTGGTTAACGACATTGGTGTCGACTCTGGCAGGATTCTCTAAACTTAAAACTAAATTTAACATCAGTCTGTCCTTTTAACTCTGTATAGAGAATGACAAGGATACACTGTTGTCAAATTTAAGTTTAGGTTTAGAGAATCATACCGGAATCGACACCACTGTCTTCCAACCCGTATTCGAGTGTAAATGAGGAGCTGGCGAACAAAACGGTATAATTACATAAAATTAAATTTTACTGGAACTGTATAAAACTAAATGAAATTCCTACAGTGAGCTTTTGGCATGGTTTCTAATTTATAAATTTAGTAATCTTAACACTGTTTTTGGCGGTTTTGATTGAAAATTATTTGAGATTTAAATTCAACGGGCCCAAAACCTCCGGTCTGTAAAAATATAGTTTGAGCAGATTCATAATTATACCGTTTTGTTCGCCAGCTCCTCAAATATTGCTTCAGGTGCCCGAATTCGAGTAATGTCTATCGTGCACCTGAATACAGGCTGACCACTAAGGGTAATTGAGCCGTTTGAGCAAAAATAAAACTTTGACGTAAAAGCTATGGGGTCCACCTGTTATCTAATTTTGACGACTTCCGTGGCCGAGTGGTATATACGCCGGGTTTCATGGCGTCGCATACTCATAGGTCCCGGGTTCGAATCCCGGACGCCCGAACTTGCTCCTCGCGTCCAGGACTGGAGGCTGGTGTACACCCGGTTCCTAGTCTCCCCCCACCACACGTCAGAATGTTTTTAAAGATAATCCTTTGATTATCTCCAGTTTAATTTCTTTATAACATTGCAAGTTAAATAAAAGCTTGTAAAAAGGGTGAGAATCTAGATGTGCTAATCTGCGGATTGTTTGTTTTTAGCTGTAGGCGTTTTTAGGGTTCCGTACCTTAAAAAGAACAACGCAGCCCTCATAGAATCACTTTTTTGTCCGTCAGTCCGTCTGTCAAAACCGTTTTTCTCAGGAACGCGTGGAGGTATCAAACTGAAATTCATATCTAATACTCATGTCTACTGTCCCTTGGAGCTGTGAAAAAATCTAACTTCTAAGCCAAAGCAATCAACAGATACAGCCGTTTATGCCGCAAATTTTCGAAACTCGCACTGGAATCCAAACCTACAGGGTACTTCCCGTGAACTTAGAATCTTGAAATTTGATACGAAGTAACGTCTTATAGTAAATAAACCGTAAATTTTTAGTTACATCATATAATAAAAAATATTTTTGAAAATTTTTAAGTTAGTACCCCTTTCTCATGAACGCATAGAGGTATTGAGTTTGTACGGAACCCTCGGTGTGCCAGTCCGACTCGCACTTGGCCGTTTTTTTTAATATACTATAGAAATTTTTATATTGGCACATGCTATAACCCTTTTTGTCATAACAAGGAAGCGAGGCTTCTACCTTTACATACATTTAACTCATAACAAAGATGGAGCGGGAACAGTCAGCGTATACGAATTTATTATAATGAGGACAATTTAGTAAGATAAAATTAATAGATTATGCAAAATTCGAGTAAAGATTATAAGTATAAGATGATAATTGGACCTAGCTTCTATATTCAAGAAAAATCAATGGCAAATACTAAGAAATGTAATATATAAAATTCTCGTGTTACGGTGTGCGTAATTGACTTACTCCGAAACGGCTCGACCGATTTTCGTGAAATTTTATATGCATATTCAGTAGGTCTGAGAATCGGACATCTATTTTTCATCCTCCTAAATGTTAAAAGGGTACCCTTAATTTTTTTCGGACATTTTTTTTGCTTTTTATGATACATCATTCAAAAATACATACAACCCTAAATTTTCACCCTTCTACCACCAACCACTATTTTTCATGGCTTATTCTCTCCCGGTGGTTGAAGGATGCGTAAGGCATTTCCCACACAAAAAAAAGGGATGGAATCCCGAATTAGTTAGTATGATAATTATGAGTATTTGTACCTTAGTCATAGATGTTAACATAAAGTATCAGTATTATGTATTCTATGCGTTACTCTAACATCCCATAACACAAGCCTTACAGTGCTTACTTTAGGGTTAGGCTAATTGGTGTGTGTGGGTAAAAAAAAAGTAAATTGGCCAATACTATTATGCAAAATTGGAAACAGTAAGCTGGTTAATACACACTTTTAGGAATCAAGTACCTATGCAATTTCACAATCCTATAAAAATGTTCTTTATTTAAAAGAAATGTAAAAATAATTAAAATAATAAGTTTCGATATTCGGTAAATATTTGTTGAAAAATTATTTATTGCAAAACATTTACCTGATCCCTAAGTAAAAGTTTTTAAATTAAAATGAGAAAAACAATACCTGCGACTGAATTTCTTGTATCTTAGCCACCTGCCAATCTGTGGTACTTGTGAATGGTGATGACTGCAACGGATCATACCTGGATCCACCACGGCAACTTGGACATACTTGAGGGGCTAGAATAAATAATTAATTTAACAGATTACTATTATAATATACAGTATTATAATATGTCATTAAAGTTTGATTTTTATATAGTGTGTGAGGAAAATTATAAAAATAAATGATTATTAGTGGTGTAACATGATATAAACGTCACATGAGTTTTGTTTGTTTGAAGAGAGAGATAGAAGATTTCTGTTTATGTTGTCTCACTAATTTCCTTAACCATTCGCTAGTCCATACGTTTTTTTATTCTCTGTGGCTTAACACGGATTCCGGACTGATTTCTTTTGTTTTATACATTTTCTTTTGTTTTGTGCCATGTCCACACTGTTTCTTGCGGTTCTGTTTTCTGTGGACTGTTTCTTTTCAGCCGTGTAAGAAACTTTATTTGACGACCTCCATAATGTCTGAGTGGTTTGTAAACCGGGTTTTAAGGTGTCGCCTACTCGAGGTCCCGGTTCGAATCCCAGTGGGGGCAGATATTTGTGTGATGAATATTGTACTCCAGTCATGGATGTTTTATATGTATTTCTATAAAAATATACTTAAATATAAGTATATGTATTCTATCCGTTTTAGTATCCCATAAGACAAGCCTACAGTGCTTACTCTGGGGCTAGGCTAATTGTAATTGTTGGAAATATTTATTTATTTGATGTCTAATATGGCAAAAAGAGTGTATTATTGAGAGAAAATATTTGTTTATATGTACAATGTTTACCAGTGAATACACCTTGTGGTTGAATTATAGCTTGGACATTGTGGCAACTGGAACATTCAAATGCCATAGAAGTGCATATCAGTCCGACACTTCCAACTCTTATTACTGTCCCTTTAATTGTTACAAGTTTACCTGAAATTTATTTTTTACAATTTTATATGATAACTATCTGCCCCAGCGAACTTCATACCATCATAAAAAATAGGGGTTGGTGGTATTGGTTGGTGGTGAAAATTTAGGGTTGTATGTATTTTTGTATGATGTATCACAAAAAAATAAATATATTTAAGGGTATGAACAATAGACCTTGCCCAATTCTCAGACCTACTACATATGCAAATAAAATTTCACAAAAATCGGTCATACTGTTTCAATTACGCACACCGTGACACGAGAATTTTATTAGAAATCTAAGATTATTAAGATGCTATCATTATCAGCCTATTATGTCCCCACTGCTGAGGCACAGGTCATGGCCCAATCTCCCTATTCCATCCTTATGGATGGAATAGGGAGATTGGGCCATGACCCACCACACACACCCAGTGATTGGTTGGTGCTAATGACTGTATATGCAGCTGGTACCAACAGCTTAACATGCCTTCCAAAGCACTGAGGAACTCAAGATATTAAGATGTACCTACTATCTTTTCTACAAATCCTTGCCAAACTTGATATACCATTTATTAAAAATTTATAAAACTTTGTTCATTTGGGGTCTAAACCAGTCTGATGAGTTTGTATATTATGTATCTCTAAAGAAAATATAACTAGAAAAAATTCCATGCAGACCAGGCAGCAGACGGGACTTGAAACCACACCCTCTTCTATTCAGGCGAATGCACTGAGCAATTATGCTACTGTGGCCCTGATGGCCGTGTCAAAAATTCTTCTGGCCATTCTTAAGCTGCAAGGCAGCGCCATCTCTTCGCATTGTAGGTAACCCACAATGTCAAATGAATACTTTTACAAGTATTAAACATTTAAAGGAGAAATAGCAACTATAGTTATAATTTTAATTTTTTAAGCATGTAACAGCTTGCTGAAAATATAACTAGAAAAAATTACACGCAGACTATGCAACTGTTAACTTATCTTAGTAACTCTTGTTAAATCTGCCATCATTACTAGTGTAAATAGACAAAATCTAATTATCTAATGCTGAATAAAATTTATATTCATGTTTAACATGTATATTGTCCACTATTTATATTGACAAACTTACCAAAGTAATTAGCTTTTAGATTTGCTAGAGGAACAACAGGTTGATGATTCAAAACCCTTACTTTTATTTTTGATTCACATTTTAAGGCCTGAAACAGATTGTAAAACATATTTTACCACAGAATTTAAATAACATATGAATTAATATTTCATGCATTAAAATAAGCCAATGAAATGATTGTTTTCATACCTGATGTAAACAATATTCTAAAACATGTAATGTAGTTTCAGGTTTCTCAAACAGATCTGAATTAAAAGTGGGCCAGCCAGAACAGAAATCTGAATCATTTGTGAGATTTTGAACATCTAAAAGAACACTGCGCGTTTGGTCAATTTTTTCCAGATCAAATAAACTTCGGTTTTGCTCTATAAACGCTTTAAAATGTTTTGTGTGATTTGAGATTTCAGCATTTGGTGGATACTCTGGAATGACAAAGACAAAATTGGTGAACATACTCTAGATTTGCAGAAACACCACTTTTAGTCCGTGTATAATTTACTATGCAGAGAGGCAGGGATATTTCTTTAGTAAACCTTAAAAAATTATAAGATACCTTCAGTTGGCAAGTATAGTTTCCATAGATCATTTTCACTATTGAGAGGTATGACGATAGGCAATTGATTTGCAGGAGCCCTCGAAATTCCAGTTACATTAGATGGTCGTGCTGAGACGGTGGAGTTGTTCAAGCTACCAGTATCACTTGTATTATTTGTTTTGTTAGATCTGTCCCAGTTATTCCTATAGCGCCCACCTCTCCAACCGCGGCGCATGTTTTTACTTAGAAGATAAAATTTACATATGACTTTTAAATACTTGAATTTCAGGTCTATAAAAATTTTAGCTCCTGAAATTAAAACTGTAATTTCATGATAAAATAAAACTTGTTCCGTCCCGCCACCGCGATCGGCATGCAGGTAGGGACACGAAAAAAGTATCGATACTTTGTGGCATCGAGTACTTTTCCTTTCGATACCGATACTTTTGTACTCGATACTTGGTTTTCGATACTTCAACTAAATAACTAAATTAAAAAATGTATCGATACCTTTAAAAATTTGGATAAGCGCCTTATATTGATGGCAACGCCATCTAGTGGAATCATAGCAAACCTTCTAAAACATTCGATTGCGTTGATATAATTGGAAGCAGAAGCAATCTAGTGTGTCCTGAGACTTACGTACTTGAGTAATTCACGTTTAGTTTTGCAGTTGATTATATTAACATTACACGTTTTTAAGAGTATCTACATTGCTTATAAGGTCCTATGAAATGTACTCGATACTTTGAAATATCGATACTTTTGTTTCAATACTTTTACGAGTTCGATACTTTTTTTCCGATACTACTCATGAGTACAGTATCGATACTTTCTATTCGATATCGTGTCCCTACATGCAGGTAGGGATATTCGATATACATCGATGCATCGAAAACATCGATGTTTGCAATGAAAAACATCGAATCGATCCGATGTTTTGAAAAGCTTTCGATATATTCGATGCATCGATGTTTTAAAGAAACATCGAATTGGTAATAGTTTGACCACGTAGTGATAATATCCTCTTTGATTCGACCTCAGTAAAAAAACTTAAGTTTGACCACTAAAATTTTACTTATTACTATTATGAAAGCATCATTATTCCGAATTCTCTGATATATACCCAATGTTGGTAGCATTGCGCAAGAGTCAGTGCAGTGACAATAAAAAATAACTACGAGTTTCTATGTTTATGAACATTTATTTTAAATACTTTTTCTTTCTTTCTTTCTTTAGTTTTGTGAACGAAACTAAGACTGAAGTATATTTCTAATATTCTTTTGACAGACCTAGCAAAAATTTAGCGGGTTATTTAGTGTTTTTTTTTAATTTGATCTTTTGTAAAAAAATATAATACAGATTTTTCTGACACATGGCTTTTACTTGTATTTACTTTTACTTACTCATTATGAAAGGAGTTAATTCTTTTATTTTATGAAAGATTAATATATAAACTATAATAAAATTATGGATTAAGGTCTTTTCATAAACTTCAAGAGTATTTTTTTTTACTATGAAAGAATGACCTCTCTTGAGATGGGTCACTTTCCACATAAGTAATTTAGTATATAGTTTGTAATAAATTTTCAGAAAAAGTACTCGATGTTTAAAATACATCGATGTTTTCATCCGATACATCGAATGACCGCGATGTATAGTTGCGATGTATCAAATAAAAAAATACATCGATGTTTTTTCAGAGTGGACACCCCTACATGCAGGCATGCAGTCGTTGCAAAAATGACATTGACATTAGGGATCCTCGATCTGATTCAATAATAAAAAGTGGCTTCCACACGATACAATTTTACGTCCAATTTGATTAGATTGACAATCGAATTGTGTTGTGTGGACGGAAATATGAAATTGAAGGTCATTGGATGGTCGGTGTCGCTTCGGGATTGCCCAATCAAATTGGGTGGTGTGGACGCTAACTGGCCAATTTTTTAACGTAGTTAGTCACTGTGCAAGCGGCGTTCAGAGCGGGTGTGTGCGTTGACTTCTCTTTTGAGAAGAAGATGGAGCAACATGACGTCAATATTATGTCTATTGGATCTGAACGGGAAGTAATGGAGGAGATTTTAGATATATGAAAAGACTTGCCATGCCTTTGGGATGTGTCTAGCCCATTGTATAAAAATAAACAAGCAAGGCATAATTCCTTAGAGATTTTGCGGAATAAGAGGAAAAATATTGATAAAAATATTACTGTTATAGTTTTTATTATTTTTTAAAGCATGTAACTGCTTGATGTTTAAAATATAACTAGAAAAAATTCCACGCGGACCAGGCAGTTATTTGTTATTGAAAATAAAAAATCATTTAATTAAATTTATATTCTACTCAATGATATGCGCGCATGCTGGGGTAAAATAGAAATAATATTATATATTTTTTTTATAATTTTTATTTTTTAAGCATGTAATTGCTTGATGTTTAAATCTAATGAAAATATAACTAGAAAAAAATCCACGCGGACCAGGCAGCAGACGGGACTCGAACCCGCACCCTTCGCAATCAGGGCGAATGCACTGATCAATTATGCTACCGCGGCCCTCACGGACCGCGTCGAAATTCTTCCAGCCATTCTTAAGTTGCAAGGCAGCGCCATCTCTTCGCATTATAGGTAACCCACAATGTGAAATTAATACTTTTACAACTATTATACATTTGAAAGAAGAAATAGCAATTATAGTTATAATTTTTATTATTTTTAAAGCATGTAACTGCTTGAAGTTTAAATCTAAAGAAAATATAACTCAGTTATATTTTAAAGGGTTTTCGAAGGGTGCGGGTTCGGGTCCCGTTTGCTGCCTGATCCGCGTGGAATTTTTTCTAGTTATATTTTCTTTAAAAATATTACTCTTTAAGAATAACTATATTTAAGTTTATTAATTGAGTCACTTAAATATAATATAACTACATTTAAGTGCCTCAATTGCTTTCTTTTTAATAACCATTGTTTTGTCCACAGTCTTCTTTTTCTTTTTTTCTCATCTACATTTGTAGTTAGAGCCAAGATTAATCCAATTTTTTGCTTCTTGGTAAGAGGCATCCTAATACAAACAAGTCCGTTCAGCAGAGGCAACAAATAAAACTGAAATTGGCGATCTTGTTGTGTATGTGTAGACGGACGACCAGATTGTACCCAATTCAATCGGCAATCAGATTGGCAATCAAATTGTGTCGTGTGGAAACCGATTCTTGCCAATTTGATCATTTAATTTAAGAACCGATTGAATAGGATAAAAAAATGTCATGTTATACGAATCATATATCTAGAAAATCATATGACATGACATACTTTTTTACCTGCCGAAAGATCTTTTTACATTTTTGATCCACTCGGTAGTCCGCTACCGCGCGCCCGCATCTCCAAACAGTCCGCACAATGCGCGCATTGTAAAAAAAAGACCACCCCGGATTTTTAGGTAAAAATGCCATTTTCTCGCTACATAATGAAGCTAGGACCAAACAAAAAATACTACTGTAATGCTGATTAGGTAAATAAAGAATCCACTACAGAATATTTGGATCTCTGTAACTCAAAAACTAATTAACTACAGCGAGTAGAACTGACCAAAACGTCAATTTTAAATAAACTTTTAAATCTAACATCATCAAACATCTAGCAGTTAAATGCTCAAAAAATAAATAAAAACATAAACTTTTAAAATTAAACGCTTTTTTCCTAATGTTAATTTGGAAAATGTAAAATTTTGTTCTTCTCAAATGGTAGGAATTTAACTATTTTTTAATGGTATCAAAAACTTTATTTTATTCAATCTGTATCAAATTCAGTAAAGCAAAATCTAACATCCTGTTGACTCCTCACCTCCACCACCACTTCGTCCATGTCGGGCGACCGAAATATTCACAAGATGGCCGCCGTTCCTAAGGCTCAATACGGACTTTATTGCGTAGTAGCCGAATTGGTTAGTTTTAAATATTTTTTTTTTTTATTTTCACACTTTAATTCTTTTTTCCAATATAATTATATTATTTACTATTAGAAACCAAATAAAAAACAAAGACTTCTTTTACATAAATGCGCAGTATCCGAGATGTTGTTTTTTTTATAGCTTAATTCTTTAAAATTAACATTACAATAATTCTTGATCTATAATACATAAATGAATATATTCATTTAGGTATTTTTTTCACATAAGTATATACATATTATATACTAGCAGTCGTCCGCGACTTTGTCCACGTTAGCTATAGATTTTTCTAATCCTTCAGGAACCAAACACTTTTCCGGGATAAAAAGTATCCTATATCTCAATCCAGGTCATAAACTATATGCTCACCAATTTCAACCAAATCTGTTCAGTAGTTTTTGCGTGATTGAGTACAGACATACAGAATTTTCACATTTATGATATTAGAAAAATTAAAATGAATATTAAGTCTACTAGTTCGTGTTAACATTTTTTCTTGTGTCTTAGAAAGATAAAGTAGGTCATCGTCAACCGTCGTGTTTGAGTCAGAAGTACTTAGGGGTAAGACTGTCTGTCAGTCAAAACTTAAGTCGAAGGGGGCTTGTGGTACTCCTTGAAGCAGCCGACGATGGAGAGGTTTACATCACATTCTGGGCACTTATAAGCTGTTCTGGATGGCTTTTTTTTACAGTGCACATCCAGCAGCGTGTGTTTCTCGAACCAGTAGGGACAGGGAAGTGGTTCCCTTCGACGTATAGTCGAGTTCTTTGCCGTATTATGGCCATAGATGTCACTTTCGTCGTAGTCCTTGTTGTCGCTGTCGTCGTCGTCGCTGTGGTCGTCGTCGCTGTGGTCGTCGTCGTCGTTGTCACCCGTCGTGTTTGCGTAAGAAGTCGCGGTTCAAAAGTTAGATCAACCTGTCTATATATTTTTAGTAAGTCCGCGCACAAGATGTTGTAGTTTGTGGGTGTGGTCACTTGTAAAAATAACATAGACTTATTATAGTCCAGGACGATCGCTGGTTTGTAAGTCAGTCGGTCATGTCTGTCTCTTGATCCAATCTGGAGGGGATGATATGTGGAAATCATGCTAACAAGGTTAGTATCACGCCACAACATCATCGCCAGATCGGAACAGTACGTCACCACTACTTTACCCTTTCGTATGTCACTCTTCGTTAAAGTCCTAATTGACTCGGGAACAAATTCTCGAGAAAGTCTCAAAGTGCCGTAAACGTCTGTCTGTCCGTCACGTTTGAGGCAGCGCGCTAATAATGGACTATTATAGAAAT